TGAGCACTTCTCTGAATATGGTAACTTTTTTGGCTTTTGCGATAGCCGGGCTCATAACCTGTTGAGATCAGTGGTGTATCTGTATCTGCAGCGGCATAGTTATCACGTTGAGTTGAACAACAGTTCACTTGAATATATGTTTTGTATTGTTGTTCTGAGTGAAGCTATCTACGGAACTATTTGTGGGTGGTCCGCAACCCGATTCGGTTGGCGAGCCACACGCCTAACCAATCAGTCTGAGCAACCTCCTCCTTCAACATTTCCTAAGACAGTGTGTTGTCTTAGTAAATTCATCCCTTCCTTGGGTGGCTAGATTCTCACATCTGGTGCACCCACCATTACAGTCATCTTCTTCGTTCCCTTCTGGTCTATCTCCTGGTCTTCGAGTTAATGCATCTACTTTTCCGTTCCGTTTCCCAGGTCGATATATAATTTGAAAGTTAAACCTTGACAGAAACTCAGCCCATCGAGCTTGCCTTCGAGTAAGCTTCTTTGTTGCCATGAAGTATTCAAGACTCTTGTGATCTGACAAAACTTGGACTGGCATTGCTGTGCCCTCGACTTCTGGTCTCCATGCTTCGAAGCATCTGATGATGGCGAGTAACTCCTTGTCATAGATTTTGCAGAGGAGGCAATTCTTGCTGTAGAACCTCTAGCGATGTCTTTTCTAGAGGCTATTCTTTTCCCGACTCATACTGGGTAGGATCCTCAGTAGCAGAGATCTCATTGAGTCTGCCTTTCTGTTTCTGAGGGCAGTCATAAGCACGATGGCCGCTTTCGTGGCAATGGAAGCATTTGCCAAGCTTCATGAGCGATTCTTTCTCAGGATCTTGGTGGGGAGAGCGGTAGAGCTTCTTCTGTGGTGCACTATTTCAACAGCAGTACTAGCAGTAGGGCTCTGGCCACTCTGCTTCTGGTAGGCGAACGGCTGTGGCTTCATTCTCTTCTCCTTTTCTTGAATTCTCTGTAGGTTTTGGTCCACAAGCATGCATTTCTTTGCGAATTCATGTAGGGTGGTAGCTCCCACTTCTGCAACAAGGGCTTTCTGCATGCCTTGGTTGATTTTAAATTGGTGATTGTTGAAAGCCATTATGAAGGACTACCTCATCGTCGGTCAAGCTTTTGATGCTACTATTGCAGAGTGAAATGATGCTATTCTACAGCTCCAAGAAGAAATTCAAGACAAGGATGAAAAGATTACTGAACTGCAAGGCATTCAAAAATATCTTGAGAATACAGCTCCTATTCGCAATGCAGTGTCATACTGACATTCGTTGCACTCAGTTTGCTATCAAACTCAAGAGCAAACTTAGAAATCTCCTCCTCAAACCTACAAGTCACCATACATATCTGGGCTTATCACACCAACAACAGAAGCAATACTACTCAACGATTGCTGAAAACTCTTCTACTACATCTGTTTATGCTACATACATCACGGCATATCATTTGGACACTCATTGAACAAGTTATTAAGAAAATCTCCTCCTTAAGGGGGTGGGCCAATACTACCACATGGCATATCTCTACCAACTAGAGGCCTAGGAACATGAACGATAGCTCTAGAAGCTTCTACAACCCTCTATGATTCATTACACGTCATCGCTCCTTAGTTACCCACAAGATTGGTTAAGTTATGACATAATTTGTCTATAGGTACTCTGACCTTGGACCTCCTTTTCACTTCCTATAGGCTAGGAACCCAAGAGATGGTTCTATGGGATTCTCTTACGTTCACTACATGATTAGCAAGCTAGTTGTGGGTCGCACTTGATTTCTAATACATTTACCAAGCCTGGTTAGTCATGGAAAGTCATGGAAAATGAGAGAACTACACTCCTTTGGCATAAATAGGATTGCCCTTTCCTTAAGAAAGGGCAAGCAGGCAATACAGTAAATCGACTAGCACATACTTCTACGTCTTTTCCAAGCTTCCAAGCATTGATCTTGTTATTCTCTGTTTTTGAAAAGTCAGTGAGGTGCTAACCTCTGACTTACCCCTGAGTTCTCAGACTCAACATTTGTTGCAACTTGTCTAAACCACTTCACCACATCATACACCTGATTGCTGCGTTGTGGAATAGTCTAAGCTACAACCCTTTGGCTCTGTTTCCTAAGACAGTGTGTTGTCTTAGTAAATTCATCCCTTCCTTGGGTGGCTAGATTCTCATATCTGGTGCACCCACCATTACATGCAGCACCTCACCAGTCTGCTCGCATTCCGTATCCTCCTATTCTTACAGATGGGATTGAACCAGCTTTTGAAGACTGAGTTGTGAAGATGACTGGGTTGTGAAGATCCGACTCAAGCTGGAAGCCAACATTGACACTTCCCAAATGACAAGATGCAGATGAGTTATCTCCAAAGCAGACTAGGAGGACTCGCAGTTCACCATGTGAACCCAAGGCTTCGCATTACCTCACCAAACATGCTTCAGTCAGCAGAAGAAATCCTCCAACTCCTTGAGAAAGTGTTTAGTGACCCCGATAGGAGACACACTGCACAAACTGAGTATCGCAAGCTATACCAAGGCAAGAATACCTTTGCAACTTTCTGGGCTGAATTCCAGAGACTCACTGCAGAGCTGGACTACTCAGAAGAGTTCGTACTCTTGGCTGCTAGGTGACAGCTTTTGGAATTCAGTGTAGGTGTTGACATTCCAAGTCCTCATCTGGTGGCCGTTTGATAGTATAGACTGGTGTCTTTCTTGAGCTGTTTTGCCCATCCTCTTGAAATCTTCTTGGGCTTCGAGAAAGTCATCTTGAAGTTCATCTCTCTTCTCAGACTCATCTGCTAAGGTTGTTTTCTTATTTATACACTCATAGTCTTCTGGGTTTCGGTCAGCCATCTTGGCTTTTTCTTTGGCCGTGTGTGCCATAGCAGCTTTGCTATTCTTTTAGTTTTCGTATTCAGTAGATCAGACTCGTATCACCAAAGGCCCTATTGCGCAGTTTGTCAACTGTAGGAGCGACTTGAGAGGAGCGCACTTCCCTCACAGCTATATTCCTTGTCGAGGGAGCATTGTGAAAGGTCTGATCTATGAAGTCTGTGTGTTCTGGTGTGTTCTGTGGTGTTCTGGAATCAACTTTAGGATATGGTTGTAGGGTTTCCAAAGAAGGGAATTCGAATTTCAGTATCAAGGTTCAGGCTCAGAGAGCAAAAGAAAGGTGAGATTCAATCTTATGTTACGATGGTCACAGAGGTCAAGAAGCCAGTCCTGTAATGGTGGGTGCACCAGATGTGAGAATCTAGCCACCCAAGGAAGGGATGAATTTACTAAGACAACACACTGTCTTAGAAAACAGAGCCAAAGGGTCGTAGCTTAGACTATTCCACAACGCAGCAATCAGGTGTGTGATGTAGTGAAGTGGTTCAGACAAGTTGCAACAAATGTTGAGTCTGGGAACTCAGGGGTAAGTCAGAGGTTAACACCTCACTGACTTTTCAGAAACAAGGAGTAACAAGATCAATGCTTGGAAGCTTGGAAAAGACGTGAAAGTATGTGATAGTCAATTTACTGTATTGTCTGCTTGCCCTTTCTTAAGGAAAGGGCAATCCTATTTATGCCCAAGGAGTGTAGTTCTCTCATTTTCCATGACTTTCCATGACTAACCAGGCTTGGTAAATGTATTAGAAATCAAGTGCGACCCACAACTACCTTGCTAATCATGTAGCAAACGTAAGAGAATCCCATAGAACCATCTCTTGGGTTCCTAGCCTATAGGAAGTGAAAAGGAGGTCCAAGGTCAGAGTACCTATGACAAATTATGTCATAACTTAACCAATCTTGTGGGTAACTAAGGAGCGATGACGTGTAATGAATCATAGAGGATTGTAGAAGCTTCTAGAGCTATCGTTCATGTTCCTAGGCCTCTAGTTGGTAGAGATATGCCATGTGGTAGTATTGGCCCACCCCCTTAAGGAGGAGATTTTCTTAATAACTTATTCAATGAGTGTCCAAATGATATGCCGTGATGTATGTAGCATAAACAGATGTAGTAGAAGAGTTTGCAGCAATCATTGAGTAGTATTGCTCTTGTTGTTGGTGTGATAAGCCAAAATATGTATGGTGACTTGTAGGTTTGAGGAGGAGATTTCTAAGTTTGCTCTTGAGTTTGATAGCAAACTGAGTGCAACAAATGTCAGTACAAGTCTGGGTTCCAGAAAGTGCTCATGTCGAACTCTTACAAGAAATTCATGACCAACCAGCAATGGGACACCCTGGCATTGGGAAGATGATTCGGGTCATCAAAAGACAGTATTACTGGCCCCGCCTGGATAATGTAAGGATGCCTTCTCATCTCTCACTCTAAGGAGCAGACTCTGAGTAGCTGCGGGGTCACGTGTGATCATTTGGGTGGGCTAACCGAGTTGGATGGGTTTCGGGTACTTGAGGGAATTGACTCACGGGGTTCCCCCTTCATCTTTTTTATATCCTTTGTAGTAGACCTATAGGATAGCATCCGTTTAGCCTCCAGCTCGAAGCCCCTTTAGCAAACGCTTTCTCCCTGTTATATCGACAGGGCACTGAAGAGCTTAAGGCTACCAAGCAATACCTGTTAGAGAACCTAGAGAAAGGCTTCATCGTCAACAGCAACAGCCCCTTCGCGTCCCCTATCCTATTCGTAAAGAAAGCGGATGGCAAATTAAGATTTTGCATCGATTACCGGAAGTTAAATGGTCTCACCCGGAACGATCCCTACCCCATCCCGCATATCGACGAACTACTAGGACGGGTGTCGAAAGCAAAAATCTTCACGAAGCTAGAAAAGTAGACCACAGATCCGATATTTGGCTAGAATGTTGTCGATATCGCGATCAGTGGTCTGAGGCCACATTTTGGTGTGTTTTTTACCGGGCCAAGAGGTCAGCACCGGAGGTGCGGTCACATCGGGAAGGTGGGATTCGACCAAGCTCTGTACCGGCGGCGAGGATCCTCCCTCGGCCATTTACGCCTTAAGTAGATAAACATTTCACATCATCAAACTCAAAAGGTAGTTCTCAACTTTTCCCATTCACCCCTCTTTAGTGTCTGTCTCTCTATACTGTACAATCAACCCGCCCATTATACAGTAAAACCACCCGCCACCGCAACAAACACCAAAACCTGACTGCGCTCTCCCCCACTCCCTTGCAGGAATGGGATACCAGCCGCCAAAAGCCTCCTACTCCCGCTTGCTTTCATCTTCAATCCCGCAAAAAAAAACTCCCCTTCTCCCATCCGTCTATGTACTCTAAACGTCCCGTTCCGTTCCGTCTTTCCTGCGCCATTCCTAGGACTTTTCCCAATATCCAAAATCCAAGGTCTATCTATATCCCAAACTAACCAAAAACAAATGAAATCTAAAATAAAAAAACATTGCTGCTTATTGCTGTAGAAGCGTGTCGTGTAGCTGTGCTGGGCTACCGCCGTGTGGGTGCCTATGTAGGCGGGTATCGTCGTGAGTGTAGTTGTGTAAAAATGAATGTGTGGGTATCGAACGAACGTAAGTGTGTTAAAAAGTAAAAAGAAGAAGAACGAGCGTTGTGTATCTGTCTGTCGTGTTCGTTGGTATCATTAAAAGTTAAAGGTCGCAAAAGTTGTAAGTCGCGTCGTGCGTCTGTGTGTCTCCCGTCTGTTTCCTCTTCTCCGACTCTTCTCCTCCTCCTCCTCTTCTCCTCCTCTTTCCTCCGTCTCTCTCTCTCTTATATCGCAGTAATTAGAGAATTAGAGAATTAGGGATTAAATCACCCCCTCCCAAACCCCACCGGAAACTTCTCCGCAAAAAACCTCCTCAACTCCTTCCTCCTACTCCTCCTCCTCTGCATCCTCGCCACCCCCTGCACCATCGGCCCAACAATATCCTCATCACCCAACTGCGGAAACTTCCCCTCACACCTCGGATCATTCAAGCTCGGGATCTTCGTCATCACATTCTCCTCCTCCCCAACCCTCTTATGCTTCAGACTCCTAAACGCATCCCCCCCCCTCGCCGCCGTCGCCTCGATCGTCGCATCATTGTGCGCCCTCCAGAGGTCGTCGGTTTCTTTCCACTTCTCCTCGGTCAAAAGGTAGGTCTTGGAGGTGGCGCCGTAGTGCTCGCCGGTGCGCACGAGGTGCTTGGTGTAGTTGCAGCGGGCGAGGTCCCAGTCGCGCTTTAGTTGGCGGCAGGCTTCGAGGTCGGGCTGCATGGGGAGGTAGGGGGGGGGGTGGATGGTGAAGTTCGCGTGGCCGAGGGTGTTGGACCATTTGTCGTCTATGTCTGCGATGACCAGCGGTAGGGCGTCGGAGGACGACGTGCACAGGTGGACAGGAGCGATGGTGTGAGTACGGCGCATGGAGGACATAGATGGCTTTGTAGAAAGCGGCGGGGAAGGCATGCCGCGTGCGGGCGTAGCGATGCTGGTAGCGGGAGTGCAGGCGCCGCTGAGGTACTCAGCCGGGTCAGCGACGGAGGGGGACTCGAGCGGGGATTGTAAGGGGACGTCCGCGTCGGTGGTGGAGTTGCTGCCCATCATCATTGGCGGTAGGAGCGGTGTCGAGACAAAGCCCACGGGACGCTCGGAGTCGTCGCAGTGGGGTCGTTCGAAATCCTCAGAGTCCCGGGTGGAGTCGCGGTACGGCGAGTCGTGGCGGTCGAACTCGCTCATGGCGGGCGTGGGGGGCATCTGGATGTCGCCGAAGGAGACGGCTACGCCGTGGCTGACGGCGTTTGAGACCGAGGAGGACCTGCTCGATTGGGTGCGCGAGGCGCGGAGGTCGCCGTCGAGATCGGAGAGGGATAGTGGGTTTGAGCTCTTGCTGGCGCGCCATTTGCGCGTGAAACCTGGGAATCGAGTGCCGAAGCGGTTGGCGATCGCGCTGAAGGGGGAGTCGCCGGCGCGGCGCTTCTTGGTGATGCTCAGGCCCAGGTCCGTGTCGCTGGTGATGCCGTCGGCGAGGTCGTACTCAAAGTCTGGTCTCGTCGATAGCTGTACGGATGACCGGCCCATTGAGCTTTCAAGGTGGCGATGGTGGTTGTCGTCGCCTGGGACGGTTAGCTGGGGTAGGTGTTTGTGTGGGTGGTAGGACTTACAAGACCAGTCATAGACATCGTGGAGGTCGTCGTCAAACATGTCGAGATCCTCGTCACGCTCGAGCGGATCCTCCTGCACGTCTGGCAACGAGCGCTTGCTCGTCTTCATCGCCGTGAACGTTGGCGACGACGGAATCTCCGTGAGTGGCGAGTGCATTGAGTTGTCGAGTGACGAGACGGAGCTGCCGTATCTGACATGGCCACGCTTGGATAACGTCGGCGTGGTTGGCGAGGAGGAGGGGCAATCCGAGGGGGTGCTCGGCTCGTAGATACCAGAGCTCTGTGAGACGTTGAGCTCCTCGTCGACCAGAGTCTCCCGCTTCCTGCGCTCCTCCACCAGCTGCGGCAATAATAAAGGTTTCAGCATCGGTAGACGCCGGCGTTGCCGTGGTATAATTCTTTGCAATTGAGTGAGTCGACGGTGCGGTGGGTGTGTGATGATAGATCTGAATCCGATTCTGATTCTCCTTGAAGATGGTGGACTGTGGTACTGTAGATGTACTCCGAGCCTTCCATATGTGCGCGTGACGGGGGGGGGGGTGGTGGTTTCGTCGGTCGGTGGTGGCTGTTGTCGATATTCCCGGGGGGTCGTTCACAAGCTGTCCACGTTGCGCAGGAGGTGCGTCTTTGAACGTTTGTTCGCAGGCTTCAGTGGTATTCGTCGGCCGCGGTGTGATGGGAGTTTGTCGCCTTTGCGCCTAATGGCCAACGAATCTCGACGGAGGGCCGCAGTTCTGGGCACCAATGATGTTAGAGGCTGTTGGCTGACCTGATGCGCGGCGGGCGAATGGGCATGACTCTTGGGTTGCAGAAATCGCCGACATGGCTGGTCAAGTGACTACTCTTTGGGCTCTGGACTTACTTGTTTTGCTTTGTTTTTGCCTCTTGGTGCTTTTCTCATGCGGTTTCTCGGAGGCAGGTAGGTCGATTGGCGGGTCGAATTGGCGCAGTATGATGAGTTGGCGAGTATTTGAAGATTGAAAGAGAAGGAAGGTCGGATAGGTGAGGATGGATGGGATGTATGTATGTAAGAGGAAGGGGGGGGGGGAGGTCCGAGGTAGTTGGGTGGTGGGAAGTGATAATGGGGGTTAGTCGATTACACTCCTCAGCTCAGTGTCTCGTCGCTTAACAATCCTTTTGGCTCGTGGGGTTGTTTATCATCGTCTGATCCTTGGGGGGGGGGGAAGAGGGGGAAAAGGAGAGAGGGGGAAAAGGGGAGAGGGGGAGATAAATCGGAAGGCGAAAGATCAAAAAAGCCAGGGCGATCCGCGTTGTCGGTGCTCTTGCTCTAACTGACAAAAGACAAAGAAAGCTCTAGCGCCCTGTCACCAACTGGTGCGGCGGTGCTAACAAGTTTTTTTTTTTACCACCAAAGTGGAATGTACTTGTCTGTGCGTGTACAACCAGGGCTACAAACATGTCGCGCCCCCCCGCTCGCTATGATTTTGGTAGGTGGGTGGTGGCCAACTACAAGGCACCCGGAAGTGCTAAAGTGGGCTTAGTCTCGGGAATGCCAGCGAGAATAGTACGCGACCAACAACGTGGCAAGCCGACGAAGAGGGAGATATTGCAAGTTCCTGTGTACCTCTGTAACCCTAAAACAAATGCACATGCCTCGCTATAGAACAGCGACATGGATATGCATCCTCATCCGTCGCACCCGTTAACTTACTCTTCACTCACTCACGGCCGTCCGTCCTACACGCCCTCTAGCCTTTTCCTAGCCTCCATTAGCACACGCCCTCAGCGTCCTCTTACTGGTTGGATGCTGTTAGTGCCACCGTTCAGAACAGAACGTAGAAGCATGTCCCACCGTAGAAGCACGTCCACCGTAGAAGCACGTCCACCGTAGAAGCACGTCCACCACGTACCGTAGAAGCACGTCCCACCACACCTTTTTCGCCGCCCAGTACCATAGCCCGTTCCTAGCAAAAACCCAACGTTTCTGGAAATGGATGAACACACATGCAATGCACATACCCTCTCCCCGCCGATCCGGCCTCATCGTGTGTTTTTGGCTAAGCTTGCCCTGTTGTGGCACCCCCCCACCACCAACGCAGCCCTGGTCTGATCAGACAGCCAGCCACTCCCATCCCGCCACACACCCGCCAGCGCACCTGTGGTTGTCAGTGAGTGGTTAGTGGTTAGTGGTCAGTGGTCAGTGGTCAGTGGTCAGTGAGTGGTCAGTGGTCAGTCCTCAGTCCTCAGTGAGTGTGAGTGCTCAGTCAGTGAGTGCTCAGTCCTCAGTTAGTGAGTGCTCAGTCCTCAGTCCTCACTTGCAGGCACTGACCACGACCACCACCAGTAGACCATCTCTCCACTGGCACGTGCTAGGTTGAAAGTACAGTCATGACGCGTTAAGTCGATACTCGATTCACGTTACGTCGATACGTTTTGCTGGCCTCAACCCCCCTGTCCACTACCAAAATACGTTCGATATCTCGATATTTACGCTATCTCGATGGTATTTACGGGACCCGAGCTATCGACTTAACGGATTATGACTGTAAGCAAAGCAGCTGTGTTACATCCCGCAAGTGTCTCGCGTACCTGCACTCACCCGTCGCTACATCCATACTGACACCTTTTCCATACTGACACCTTTTCCATACTGACACCTTTTTCATACTGACACTTTTCCATACTGACACCTTTTCCATACTGACACCGTTTCCATACCTGACACCTTTCCATACCTGACACACCACCCACACCCACACCCACACCTACACCCACACCCACACCCACACCCACACCCACACCGCAGAGATCGATGGATGGCCTGTGGGTGGTGATAAGGCTGGCTGATAGGGCTGACTGATAAGGCTGACTGGGTGATTGGGAGGTGATCAGCCCCAAAGGTGACCTGAGTGAGTGAAGCCCATGTCTGACGTAACGTCTATAAGCCGGCTGTGCGTCAAACCTAAATCCAATATTACCACGCGAAACACGCCTCGGCACGGCTTAAATGGCGTGAGTAGTGGCGTGAGAAGGGGGGAAGTGAGCACAACTGACGTATATGGCGGGGAGGTTGGGAGGGGCAGTATGGGAAAGTTCTTGGGGGGATGGGAAAGTTCTTGGGGGGATGGGAAAGTTCTTGGGGGGATGGGAAAGTTGATGGGAGTCTTGCGGGGGGGTTGGGGATTCTGAGTCGTGTTTGCTGGATTCGACGGGAACGGAAGGAGGGGTTTGGTTTTGTGGTTGATGGGGCGACGGGATGGGGGGTGATGGCGCGACGTCAGGAGGACGGCGGCCATTGAGGTATCAGTAGGTAGATCTGAGGGGGATATATACACCGCTACTACTGACAAACAACCAACGCGCCTTGGAAAATATGAATGCCACCTACGAAGCCCCCTTCCTACCATCCCTCCACCACGAGCCCCTGCGGCTTCTTCTTCCCCCCCACGCGCCAACCAAGAAGACAACAAGTACTATGTCCAATATCGCGTCCAGATCTTCTTCTCCTCGTCCGTGCCGTGGAACTGTGGGGTATGAGTATTCGATCAAGGTTGTTATGATACGAAGTTGGTGGAAGAGAAGGGATAGGGGGAAGGGGAAAGGAAGTTGGTGGAAGAGAAGGGGGAGAGAAGGGTAAAAGGAAAATAAACGTACCCGAAATTTCACCTCCGTAATCTCCTTGAACCCCTCTTGTAGCGACGGGGGGCCGTATTTGGAGTTGAACGACGCAAACGCGATATTGGGAAGGATAGTGCGTTTTTCCGGGTTCATCTATCAGAGGGTGTCAGTTTGTGTTGCATTTCCAGCCGTCTTCCATGGAGTAAAGTGATATCAACTACCCAGGTCGATGCCGAGTGATAGACCGCACCACGGTATAAAACAGGAGCGAAAACAGAAAACAGGATAACAAACCTCCCTATTCAGCGCCCTCACAACATCATTATGTCTACAAACCCCCCCCTCCGTCACAAAATGCACACACCTAATCTCCACCCCAAACTCCCTCGCCAGATCAACCCAGTATTTCCTCGTCGCCTCATCAGGATTCGTATTGTCAATCACCACCGAGACCCCCTCTTCGAGACGCGTGCGCGCGACTGTGAGGCATTTATCCCGCGTTTTGAGACGGTCTTGGTTGATGCGCGTGTAGGCGGGGTTGAGGTGGCGGAGATAGAAGGTCGTTTTGCCGGAGCCGGGGGAGCCGACGAAGAGGACCTGGGGGGGGAGGTGGTTAGGCCTGGGTTCCGGGGATGGACTGGTGGATGGGGTGGATGAATAGGGTGGATGGATGGGGTGGACGGGATGGACGGGATGGACAGGATCAGGATAGACAGGACAGGCGCGGACATACAATCTCTTGCTCGCTCGACGGCACGAAGGGGGGGTCCTCTGCAAACTCCAATTAGAACGGCGCTCTCGAATTCCAGGCTCCAGTGGACCACGAACCGGTATCATCATTGGCAGGAGCTGTGTTGATGTAATTCGCTGGCTCGAAGGAGCGGATGAACTCCCGTGGTGCCTCGTTCAGGAAGTACTCTTCGGGGGTGAGGAATAGGATTCCTATGTTATGAGCGAAACCGCTGGGAGGGGTGTTAGCTAAGAGTACTTTTATGTATGTATGGAGGGTTGGGGGGGGGAGGGGGCTTGCCGGTCAGAAGCCGAAAAGTCTTGATCGAATCCAGGCACGGCGATGCGGCCTGCGGCATCGCCGACGACAAATGATTCCTTCATGTGGACGGTTTCGGGGGTGAGGTCCAAGTCCTTCAGGATCTCATCCCACATCCCCGTCCGCGGCTTCCTGTAGTTATCAAACTGCGTAGCGGCATATAGCGTGACTGGGATATCCAATTGTCGCAGAATAGACGCAATCTTACCCTTCCAGGAATCCAGACGACCCCTAACTGCTGTCGGGGCTTTGCGTTCGGGGTGCAACTGGATGGCGCCCTGGTTGCTGATGATGACGATGTTGAATCTGGTGACTTGTCAGTACTACGGCATCAGGGGTTGGCTTAGGGGGGGTGACGGTTACTCTTGATCTTGGTGCAGCCTTTTCATCATCTTGGGCACGCTGGGATGCCACCACTTCCAGTCCCCGGCGTCATAGACGAACTTCTTGCCGGAGGCGGACTTGACGAGGGTCCAGTCCTGGTGATGTTAGTAGGGGCTTCGGCATCACTTGACAGGGAACGTACCAAGTCGAAGGCAGCAATCCTCGTCTTCTTGGGAGCGGCGGGGGCGGCGGGGGCGGCATCGTTTGGCTCGGTGGATGTGCTTAGAGGGACGTATTTGCCGACGATGAGAGAAGTTCGGGTGTCTTCGTTGACGGCCCTTTCCGACCATGTTAATGGCTCTGGTGGCTTCTGGGAGGTTGGTTTGAAGAACGAGGAGACGGCAGCTTCTATTTTGCTGTTAGGATCAAAATTCAATTACCACTCCTTGAGCCCGAACTTACTCGTAGTTGTAGACTGAACCTTACGTTTGACAGGGGGTGGTGAAATAGGCTTCTCGTCTCGGTCCTCGTTCTTCCTCTTCGGGTCGCGGCTCGACGAAGACATGGCAGCGGCAAATTGTGGCTACGAACGTTAATGAGGTACAATATCTTCGGTCACGCTGATCAACGAGAATATATTTAAGATGGCAAATCAAAAGAACCTACTACTCGCAGCGGGAAGGGTATTTTAAGGCAGCCTGTCCGTCTTTGTCACGACAGGAGTGATCGTCCTGATGTGCATAGCCACGTGACAAGCATATCAATTTACTTTATCTCTTTGTCGTATTCAAAGCAGTTTCGTTCGGTATCCGGATTCAGAGTCAGGTCTGAAAGAGTCTTGGGTTGTAGCTGTTTGGAACAGCGGCCACGTAGAACGCGACTTGAAAGGTATGGTCACGTGATGCTGTTCTACTACTTTATCCCTTTATCATATTCGACTGCCAGCTTTATTCATTCCTCGGGGTTACAGTCGCATTGAAAGAGAATCAATTACTTAATATTTATAATATTTTCTGTGAACGGACGGACGTCGAGGTCGCTGCAACATCACATGAGTCGTCACCCACCTTCTGTTTGTGCGATAAGCAACCCCGGATTACAGCGGGACACAGCGGCTTCGGACGGGAAGCTAAACCACCCAACCCAACAGCATCACAATATCTCCCCTCGAACAATTGCTAACCTAACCACACTCCCAACTTACCAAATTCCAAGCCAATTACACCGGAATCATGGCAGCTCAAGAAGTGAGGACTCCCGGCAGCAAGCCCGGCGGCACTATGCTCTGGGGAGGACGATTCACAGGTATGCGTGCTCCCAATACATTTTTTGTTGACTCGCTTGACTCACATTTGTCCCCCAGGCGGTCTGGATCCCCTCATGGTCTCATACAACGAGTCGATTTACTACGATCGCGCGTTCCACACTCAAGATATCCTAGGCAGCATTGCATGGGCGCGGGGTAACCACAAGGTCGGGATTCTCAGCGATGAGGAGTTCAAGGCTATCGAGGAGGGGTTGAAGAAGGTCGAGGCTGAGTGGGTGGATGGGACGTTCAAGATCATTCCTGGAGTGGACGAGGACATTCACACTGCCAATGAGCGCCGCCTTGGTGAGATCATTGGCAAGGACATTGGAGGCAAGCTCCACACCGGCCGCAGCAGGAACGAACAGGTCGCTACGGATATGAGGATGTGGTTGCGTGACGAGCTGAGGAAAATCGAGGTCTTCCTAGTTGACTTCCTCAAGGTTGTCGCGGCGCGCGCGGAGAAGGAGATTGACTTCGTCATGCCTGGTTATACCCATCTGCAGCGCGCTCAGCCAGTGCGTTGGAGTCACTGGATGCTGTCGTACGGTCTTGCGTTTGCCTCGGATCTCGAGCGTCTGCGTGAGGTGATCGCCCGTGTCAACCGCAGTCCGCTTGGATGTGGTGCCCTCGCGGGTAACCCGTTCAACATTGACCGTGATGCTATGGCGAAGGAGCTCGGTTTCGAGGGCCTGATGTGGAACTCCATGGGCGCTGTCGCTGATCGTGACTTTGTGCTTGAGGCTATGCAGTGGGGGTCGACTCTGATGTCGCACATGTCTCGTTGGTCTGAGGATCTTATCATTTACTCGACTGGCGAGTTCAGCTTCGTCAGGCTGGCGGATGCGTACTCCACCGGCAGCTCGCTGATGCCGCAGAAGAAGAACCCAGACAGCTTAGAGTTGTTGAGGGGTAAGAGTGGACGTGCGTTCGGCCAGATGGCTGGGCTCATGATGACCTTGAAGGGTCTGCCTAGCACATACAACAAGGACTTGCAGGAGTCCGTTGAGCCGATGCTTGACCACGTCAAGACTGTTGGTGACAGCATCCAAATCGCAACTGGCGTCCTCTCGACCCTTGCTGCGAACTCGGAGAAGATGAGGGCTGCTCTCGATGGCTTCATGTTGGCCACTGACCTGGCTGACTACCTTGTTCGCAAGGGCGTCCCGTTCAGGGAGACCCACCACATCTCGGGCCAGGTCGTTGCCTTGTCGGAGAAGACCAACACACCCATGGAGAAGTTGACATACGAGCAATTGGAGTCCGTCGATGCCCGCTTCAAGCCAGATGTCAGCGATTGCTTCGATTTCGAGCGCTCGGTCGAGATGCGCACGTCCAAGGGTGGAACTAGCAAGAAGTGCGTGTTGGAGCAGATTGAGGTCCTGAAGTCGATGCTGGCTTGAATGTGAAATGAATTTATGTTGGGAGTTGGGAGGGAAATCATGGGTTACCAAAAGTTTGTCGTAATATCTAGACCTGCAGTATTTATGCGGCCTAAGGGCTTCCATAGGGACTGTGATAAAAGCATTAATTACGAAAGCCTATAAAAATTATACGTAAAGATAATGACTGATAATTACCATATTATGTGCCTGTTTGATTTTTTAGCTGTTTTGGACGTTTTAAATTAACATGTTTGTCACCACAAGATCACATGAGTCCACCACACAGTTCGCCCTCAACATCGTGACCACACACAGCTCAAAACCTACCCCTATACTCAAATTATCACCACCCAGGCTACAATGCACGAGCTCTTCCTCACAGCCGCCGTGCCCGGCGAACATGTCAAAGAAGCGCTGAAAATCCTCCAGGGCTTGTGCGCCATGCCACCCGCCCACAAGTACCAGCGAGTTCTCACATACGAAGGGCCCAGCGCACAGCTGGTGCCCATTCCGGCGGCGCGAGTGCAAAATAGACGGCCGCAGGATAGGGAGGTGTGGAATGAGTTGAATAAGCAGCTGGTTAGGCAGTCGCATTATATCACGCTCGCGTTTGCGGCAGAGAGGGGGGAGTTTAGCGGTGGTGCGGAGGATCAGGCGGGCGAGAAGCCGTGAGTATAGGATTCAAGATTACGGAGACAGATCGGATTTAACAGGCTTTATAGTGTCATAGACTTGGAGGAGGCACGGGGGACTCTGCACTTTTATGACTACCCGGAACCCCCGCATCCGTCGCGGCCTGTAAACAGCCGGCTCGTTATTCACATCCCCGACGAGCCAAAACTGCCGTCACTTCTACGGAGCATCAAATTTACGTGAGTTGCAATGCCCACCATGGGAGCAAGCATCTCTATAACACATCCCAGACACTACTCTGAAAGCCTCCGTGAAATCTACAACTTCTACAGGGACAACGTTACATTCACTCTATCCCGCGAACTCCAACGGAAGCAGCAGGATGGCGTGATAGACCTGGAAGGAAGCACGCCACAAGCTTCGTCTGACATCCGCGATTACATCCCCTTTGACGGGGAGAACAAATGGGTCTTGAAGGCCTCGGTGGAGGTGACGGATGAGAAGGAAGGTCCCCTCGTGCAAAGAGGCATTGAGGAGCTTCTCAAAGTGCAGAGTGACCTAGCAGGACTCTACGAGTTCTCGATACTGGATAGAGCGGTGCTGGATACCAGAGTGCCTGCCTTCCTTGAGCAGTTACGGCGGAGGTGAAGTCCGATGATGAATTACAAAATGATATCGAGTCACATGACCTGCTTGAATGAAGCCTTCATATTGCCACTACTCTATTCTAGGACGAAGAAGGGACCGGGGATAAATGTATTATAATCAAGACCTTTACAAAGCGCTTAATCCGTCGCCTAAAGTATTTCCCAGTATGTAAATGGTCGAAAGGTGTAGATGTGTCGTGGTGGGTGCTGTTCCTTGCCACATCAGAACATTTTAGGCTGGGATTTGGCTGCTGGGATTTGGCTGCTGGGATTTGGCTGCTGGGATTTGGCTGAGATGTATGTGACTGCATTTGTTGGATTTCGCGGGTTGAACCGGTATCGGTGCCTTGGTACCCCGATAGCTCCGTCGTCCCCGAGCAATAATTTAAGTTATGAGATCGCGTAGTCGCGCCGCCCTATCAGAAAAAGCACGTTTCGATGGATTAAGGCCCGAACCACCACCCTTCAAACCCTTTCCCCTCCTTCACAAGCATCTCCAGGCCGAGAATTGGTCCTTCCTACAAAACATCACATATCAATCAGCTCGTGCTCCTGTTGCTTCATCCTTCTCTAATATCGCCATCCTTCGGTCTCTCTCTCTCTCTCACACAGGTCTCAACAAAAACTCCCAACCCCCCCCAACCCAACAACAACAACATGTTCAAGACCACTCTCTCCCGGGCAGCAGCTCACGCTGAGCGTCAGCCGTTGATCAAGTTTTTGGGCAAGCGCACAGTCCCAGGTAAGCCTCAACCCACTCCCTCCCATCTCACCCATCATCTAACACCCTCCCAGCCTCCGTCGACCACACTCCCTCCGTCCACCCAGCCTCCCCATCCTCCGCCCTCCCCGGCCAAGGCTCCCCCTCCTTCTCCGCCTACCGCCAGCACGCCCAACAACACGGACCCCTAGGCCGCAACATCCGTACTGACAGCTCCGTCGGCTCCATCCCCGGCCGTGACCTCGGCCCCGTCGCCGCGGCACAGGGCGAGTTCTTCGACCGCAGCGAGCTGCCCGTTCGCTTCCGACGCTCTCCTTACACAGAGGCGGAGATCGAGGCTATTGAGACGGGCGGCGCTACCATGGTCTGCTGAGGCGTGACATGAGCGCTGGTGGAGTGGGATTTTTACTGGATTTTTTTGGAAACATACATGGGGCGGAAATACCCTCGGAGACAAACCATTTTTTTACGTCAAGCGATTGTTGGGATGGCGGGAGTGATTGATGGCCGGGCGACCTGGGAGGTCGCTGGAGGCCGGGAGGGGGTTTGATACAGGTTTAAACACAGGTTGATACTTGGCTGGATACTTGTAATGAAATAGGAAGACCAAGACCTGGCGACGGACGAGTCCCGGAGGTCTTCAAAATGTGGCCTCTGAAGCTGCACATTTCGTTATCTATATAACGACGAAAATAAAACGAATTATAAACATCATATGTCTTGCTTCTAGTTTGATCACCGTAACATGACCTCAGCCTCGGACTGCATGTGGTAGGTTGACTCGCATGTGACGATGCAGCCTTTGCCAACCTGCACACTTTGACAGCCCTCCATTAAGATCATCGGCCCAACCTCGACCCGTTGCGAGTCTTCCCGCAAACCCATGCGCACCCTTCCAGCTACAAGCGCGAAGTATTCGGCGCATCGTGATTCATCGTGGGGTCAACCGCCACCCCAGCATTCAGTGACCACTCAGGGCTTCCTTTATACCCCGGGCTTGCCCCGATCCTCTTCGGAACTCCGAACCAGTGGATAGAGTTTCAATGCCGAGCCTTCAGTATATTCACATCCTCGATACTACTATCCGCCGCGCTCCCGCCCCCAGCCTGCTGGCCGAGGTTGTCCCCGATCCCAGCCAGTAGCGAGCTGTCCTCCCCAACTAGCCGCTCGATGATCTTCACTTTGGCATGTGCCCGCTTGAGACGGTCGTCGAAGTCGGACACTGCGTCTTCCGTGTTGTTGGTTGAAAGACTCGCCGGCTCGCTCAGGGCGTAGAGGACACGGATGTGCTTCTCTAGGCGTGGGTTTGCCAGTGCCGGTAGGCTTGTTGTACCTTGCGGGATTGAGGCTGCTATGTGAGTCTCTCCTTGTTGGACTTCGGAAGTGGAGGCTGGCTTGTCTGGTGTATCGTCTTGGGGGAGTCGACCTGCCCAGACGACGGAGCGGCCATGCAGTCTTCCTGCCTCGACGAATTTCTCAAATCCCTTCTCCAGCCCGAAGACGCGGCCTTCTATTTTCCCGGCTTTGGCGCCTTCGGTGCTCCCAAGTTGGAAGCCCTCATCGTAGAATTTGTCTTCCAGGCTTAGGAGATCGTCGAACGGGTCTGCACTCATGTTTGGAGAGATTTTGCTGGCTCGCTGGGTTTTAGAATGCGCCGAGATAGTAACTGGAACTGAAAATGGTTCGAGGTTTTGAAAGTATAAATCAGCAAGCTTATATGACTATTTTGGGCTAATGGTCGCAAGAAGCTGTATTCCTGTCAATCTCTCAGACATTTCTCCAAAGGCAGCTTGGGTCCGTCATAGAGGGGCAACCGCCCTTACTGTACTACAAAATCCAGACCCCATTAAACGTTCGTGCACTGACTCACTGGAAAATTACCCCACCAAAAAAATCTGATGACTAAGCAAGGGAAGGCTGGCGGGCAACTGAACCCCGCCATATTTTATATCATTTCAACCATTAACACAACATCAACAACAACGAAATATGGCCTCAACAACGCCCATTCTCCCTGTCAAGGACAAGAGGAATATTTTAGTGACGTCTGCCTTGCCCTACGTCAACAACAAACCGCGTCGGTCTCTCTTTTTCATCATAAACGGATCCCTCAGACTAACATTAGTCTAGATTTGGGAAATGTCGTTGGCAGTGTCCTCAGCGCCGATGTATACGCCCGATTCAGCAAACTGAGAGACAGACCAACTCTATACATCTGTGGCACTGACGAGTACGGAACAGCCACTGAGACGAAGGCTTTAGAGACGGGCCAAACCCCGAAGGAGCTCTGCGACGAATTCCACAAGGTCCACAAGGATATTTACGACTGGTTCGAGGTCGGATTCGATTACTTTGGGCGAACTACCACCGATCAACAGACCAAGATTGCCCAGGATATCTTTGTAAAACTTCATAAGAATGGCTACCTGGAGGAGCGGACAACTACACAGCCCTATTGCGAAAAGCACGGGTCTTTCCTCTCGGACCGATTCGTGGAGGGCACATGCCCGAAATGCCAGTACGAAGATGCCCGCGGCGATCAATGCGACAAGTGCGGCAGCCTCCTAGATCCCTTTGAGCTCATCAACCCACGCTGCAAGGTCGATGGAGCCTCCCCGGTCCAGCGCGACACAACGCACATGTTTATACGCCTTGACAAGCTCCAACCAACGATCGATAGTTGGTTCACGAAGTCCAGCCAGGAGGGCGGATGGCCCCAGAACGGAATTAGTATCACCAAGTCGTGGTTTGACAAGGGATTGGAAGGGCGCAGCATTACTCGGGATCTTAAATGGGGCACACCTGTACCGTTGCCTGGCTACGAGAACAAGGTCATGTACGTGTGGTTCGACGCTTGCATCGGATACCCTTCCATTACAGCGTGCTATACAGACAAATGGGAACAATGGTGGCGGAACCCAGAAGAAGTGGAGCTCTTCCAGTTTATGGGCAAGGACAACGTTCCCTTCCACACTGTTATTTTCCCAGGCACCCAATTTGGCACGGGTGACAAGTGGACACAGCTCAATCACCTTTCTACTACAGAGTATTTGAACTATGAAGGTGGAAAATTCTCGAAATCCAGAGGTGTTGGTGTTTTCGGCGACACTGCGAAGGATACCGGCATTCCTGCATCCGTATGGCGTTACTATCTGATGGCGAACCGACCAGAGACCAGTGACACCCAGTTCGAATGGAAGGCGTTCATTGCAGCAAACAACAGCGAGCTGCTCAACAACTTTGGAAACTTTGTCAACCGTCTTGTCAAATTTGTAAACGCAAAATGCGACGCTGTCGTTCCCGAATTTTCTGCGTCCTATACCGACGATACCTTTGACTTCCCAGCATTCATTGAAAGCGTCAATACCCACCTCGGAGAATATATTGCGGATATGGAGGCTGTTCGAATTCGCGCTGGACTCAAGAAGTTCATGGAAATCTCAGCATTGGGCAACAACCTCTTGGCTGGTCGTCTTGATAATGCCAACTTGACAGGCAGCCCTGAGAGGACACACACTATCATTGGTCTGGCTATCAACATCGCATACCTCCTTGCGTCGATTTCGTCACCATATATGCCATCTACTGGAGCCTCCATTGTCAAGCAGCTCCGAGTGCCCCTGCTATCAATTACCGACAAGTGGGACCCAGAGGCTCTCAAGGGCGGCCACAAGATCGGCAAGGCCGAGTATCTGTTCACCAGGATCGATGATAAGAAGGAGGCTGAGTGGAGGGCCAAGTACGGTGGTACTCAGGCCTCAAGAATTGCTGAGGAAGAGGCTAAGGCCAAGAAGGCTGCTGACAAGGCCAGAGATAAAGAGAGGAAGAAGTCAAAGAAGGAGGCTGCTAAGGCTGCTGCTCCTGCTGAAGGGAGGCTCAAGACCGAGCTTTCTCTTCGCGGTGTTGCCGTCGAGGAACAGGCGCCTCCACCAGCGGCAGCTCCATGATTCGAATGCCATAACGAATAACGACGATGCACTGTCGGCGGCGGCGTTGGGATGTTTTAGCAGGCGGTGTGGGAAAATATGGCAAAGTTGTGTACTATTTTTTCTGTGAGACTGAGGTGGTAGCGAGGCTCCTTTTCAACATGAGAAGCTAGATCTGATTGTGAAGCTCCATAGCCTAAATTTACATTGTCTTTTAAATACAGTTCCTGGTTCGGGAGATTCTCGTAATGCCCAACCACCCTACCTATCCAACGCCGAGCCACCCTAATCTTTACATCTATATTTTACATTATTCTATACAAGACCAACCGTCTTCGCGGCTCTCATCTTCCAGCCTTCAAAGCTGTTGAGCTTTGGCCTCACATCCAAGTAGAAGCTCAGCTTGCCATTGGCTTTTCCCTCATCCTTGCCAGCATAGAAGTCAATGATGTACTCAACCTTCTTGCCGCACCTATCAACAATCCAGTCATGGCGATCAAAAGGTGTAGTATACCCCAACAGACTGTTGAAGCGTGCCTTGGGAGACATCGAAGTCGAGAGTCCCAGGAATGAGTGTAGCCTAGGGCCTCCGCATTTCTCGTCTGCACCATATGGCTCCTCCCATTCCTTGATTTCTTTCCATGCCCGCTCGTTTACTGCATTGTGTATCGGTACGATTGTCTTCATTTCTTTAGGATCGCTGGAGTGGCCCTGCAACGACTCTGTTAGAAACGTCGTTCCATTCAATCCCAATACACGTACCTTTCTCTTCATTGCATCAAAGAACATCTTCTCTGAAGGGTATATCCAGTTCCCACTCGCACTAACTCCGCTCTCCTTCTCGCTATTCGCCGGCTTCGAGGCTTCGGTGTCGTCTACGGGCGATGCGCGAGGGATTGTCGAAACTACGCGCTGCGTACCGAGCCTTGTCGACACGGCCGCCGCATCCGCAGAAGGCGTTGAAGAGAAAAATCGCGCGAATAGCCCAGGCTGCGCCGGTGGAGCCTGGGTGATATCTTCAGAATCGCAGGCATTGCCTTTCTTTGCGTCGCTGGCTCCCTTCGCTGCGCTGGGGAACGACGCAGTTGGGTTTGCTTTCAACCACGCGGCGCGGGTTTTGTCATCGACGGGGCACACCTCAGCTGGCGCCTCTGCCTCTGGGGATTTGCCCATGGTCGCGTATGTGAGTCGGGGTTCTTGGAAGCGCGCTGGGATACGAGAAGATGGCGACAGGGCATCATTAATACCTTAGGGACCATTGGAGAGGATTAATCGTATAAAAGGGTCTTAGACTGACCCACACTGTCTTATGTAGCTAATAATGTGGCTAGGAAAGGGCTTCGTAGTATGATATTTTACCGCCAAGCCCATACTAGTAGTATTTCCGGAAGGTAATATTCCGACAGCCAATATGTGTTGCTATACGAAGACGCTTCTAACATAATCTGTAACGTGGTTGTACACCGAGTCGTGAATGTCACCGAGTCGTGAACTTTTCCCTACTTAGCTACCTACGAACTTCAACACGCGTTTCCTCCACAACTACCAATGGAAATCCAAACCCAAGAAGCGCGAATCATTCTAGCTATTGAGGCTCTTCAAACATGTAAATCGCTTAATCGCAGGTCTGCATCAATACTATATAAAGTGCCTTATTCTACGCTTACTGATAGAATGGCCGGCCGACCTTCTCAACGCGAAACCAAAGCCAATAGTCTTAAATTGACTGAGCTAGAAGAGGAAGTGATTATTCGAAATATATTGGATATGGATGCAAGAGGATTTGCGCCTCGGCCTGCTAGTGTGGAGGATATGGCAAATTATATCCTTGAATCGCGTGGGGGAAAGCACGTTGGGACGCGGTGGGCATATCGATTTATACAACGCCGCCCCGAGTTAAAGACGCGTTTTAATCGCGTTTATGACTTTCAAAGAGCCTTGTGCGAAGATCCTGAGCTTATTGGAGCGTGGTTTCAACTTTTGCAGAACATGAGAGCAAAGTACGGCATCCAAGACTGCGATTTCTACAACTTTGACGAGACGGGCTTCATGATGGGCGTTATTAGCTCAGCTTTAGTTGTTACGCGCGCCGATCGACGTGGCAGAGGCAAGGCAGTTCAGCCTGGCAATCGGGAATGGGCTACAGCAATTGTTTGTGTGAATGCTGAAGGTGGGAGTATCCCTCCGTTTTTAGTAGTTCAAGGGAAATGTCACCTTTCAAGTTGGTATACTGAAGGCGGCCTTCCTCACAATTGGGTAATTAAACCAACAAGCAATGGATGGACCAACAACGAGACAGGTCTAGAATGGCTTCATCATTTCGATAAACATACTTGCAGTCATGCAAAAGGACCATATCGGATGTTGGTTTTAGATGGGCATGAAAGTCACGAATCAGCTGCGTTTCAGGAATATTGCAAAGCAAACAACATCATAACTCTCTGTCTACCTCCTCACTCGTCTCACCTAACTCAGCCACTTGATGTTGGGTGCTTTAGTGTTCTTAAACGCATGTATGGGCGTCAAATTGAGACCTTTATTAAGGCTCATATAAACCATATTACAAAGGTTGAGTTTTTTATAGCTTTCCACGCAGCTTATAACCAGTCAATAACAACTCAAAACGCCAAAGCTGGATTTCGCGGAGCTGGTTTAGTGCCCTTTGATCCGCAAGTAATCATTTCAAAGCTAGACGTCAAGTTGCGGACTCCTACACCTACAGGACCCCCCTCTATAGACGCTGATCCTTGGGTTTCTCAAACGCCTCGCAACCCAATAGATGCTCTCTCACAGACTACTCTAGTTAAAAATCACATTGCACGGCACCAAGGAAGCTCGCCAACCCCCATTTTTGTAAGGACGCAGGGCACCGTATCACGAGAAGTGGCATATGGGAGTGCGAGTCGGATATGAGTCGGTGCAATCCTATAGGTCTACTACGAAGGATACAAAAAAGATGAAGGTGTAACCCTGTATGACTGTTCCCTTAAAATACCCGAAACCGCTCCGACTCAGCTAGCTCCCTGTTTGCCTAAGGCTTCCTTACGTTATGTGCCTAAGGCTGTCAGTCGCGACTGACCCGTAACGGCCCCGAGTCTCGATGACGCCACGTGACGGCCGTAACTACCCCGAGTAAGGAGGCATCCTTACACTACCCCCCGCCTTGAGAAGGTGCTTTGTCCTCAAAGCACGCAAGCCGAGTAGCTGCCGCGACGAGCCCTTGTTTGGGTTGGTGGGTGAGGTGCGGGCGCCAAGACTAGAATGCCCTTTGTTTGTCCAGAAGGCTGATGGTAGGCGGCCGTATAGGCACTAGAAGTGGTCTGAATCCGTTTGCGCAAAGTCGCGTCCTTGTTGTGTACGCGGCGATTAGTGTTGCGAGGGTCCGTATTGGTATTGAATAGGGTCCGCACGGTATGTGTCGACGTAGAATTTCGATGTAAGGGGGAAATTTCACGCTAACCCGATTCGGACAGCTTTGTTATAAGCCAGAATATGAATTCGAGCTTCGCCCACAACTTGTTGTTTTCTTCACAACAACGACGCTGACCCCCTCCCGAGACTGGTAAGTGGCCCTTCCGATGGTACAGCTGGATGCTAACAGGTTGTTTTTAGATACAAAAACACAACGAACGATTTGGTAGGTGACGGAACCGCGTTGGCGCGGTGGTGATAACTTGGGTTGGGCTGACGGGAAAGCGCAGATTTCCAATTTGAAGATGCCGGTTCCCCCTCCTCCCGGCGCCCTCACTGTGGCTTTCCGCCAGCAGTGTATGCGCTGTGTGCGTGCCAAAGGGCGCAAGAAGGACGGAGATCCCGCCGTCTCGTGTGTGTGGAGCTTGGAAAGCTCTAAGTGTGAGCGCTGCGTGGCCCAACACGCAACGTGTGTTCCGGTGGGTTCTCGTTTGGTTTTCGGTTTTGTGGTTTGTCTGTCTGCCCGTCGCTGACCTCTGGAGATAGATCTCCTGGTTTGCTGGCCCGGAGTACCAGAAGCTCCTGGCTGCCGAGGCAGCAACCCCTCCCGTCCCCGCCGCCATCAAGGCCGCTGCGGCGGAGATTGGGCGTGTGGTCACATTGGCCACCGCCAATATGCCGAAGTTCCGCTCCCCGGCCGAGCTTTCGGCCTATATGGAGAGTTGCGCCCTCCGCGCCGCCGTCGAGGACGGTCTGGAGGTAAGTTTTCCGTTTCCCTTGTGTGTTTTTGGTTCTCGCGCTGACGACCATAGCGGGTCCGCCAGGCCGTGGCCGTCGTGGGCCAGAAATCGGCCCTGATCCTGGTGAACCAGGAGAAGGAGATCGCTGCCCTTGATGGGGTGGCTTCTGCAGTGGATGCGGTGGGGGAGTTGGTGGAGAGGATCCCCGACGTCCTCGCCGCGGCGGCGAAGGTGGGCGGTGGTGGGGGGAAGAAGAGGAAGGGGGGGGCGGAGGAGGTGGCGGAGGTGGAGGAAGAGGGGGTGACCGTCGACCTTGGGTGATAGGCCCTGTGTCGGAGGGAACTCGGGCGTGGTCTTTCGCGTGGGGTCACTTCGACCCTTCGTCTCTCATGGTGGTAGCCGCTTGTTGCGACGCCGGTGAGACGTTTGGGAAGGGTGGCTTCCGCAAGGGCTACGGCTCTGAGGGTGCCCTGGCTTAGAGGGTGTTTAGTTTAGTGTCGTAGGTAGCAACGACGCTGTTTTCCTCTGCTTTGCCGTGCCTCTCGTGATCGTAGCTTGGTTTGCCTGTCTCCCATTCCGTGATCCAGCCGGGTAGGTCCTGCGGCGGTCCTGGCAGGTTTGGGTACTCCGCGTGGAACTCCCGGATTTTGTAGGGGGAGTTCTTAAAGTTTGAGGCGGGGTACCATTCCGGGTCCGGATCGTATCCGACCCAGGATACCTGGTATTGAAGTTGTTTTCGCCGGATCCTTACGGCGAGGATCTTTTCGACCTCCCACTCCTCTAGGCCGTCTACGACTTCGCTGCTTGGCTCAGGCGCTGCTTGACTGGGCAGCGGGTTATTCGGAGCCTTGATGAGTACGTCTGGAGAGAAGACATCGTGTATTTGGGAACCCTTCGGTAGGTCTAGTCGGAAGGCGTGTCCGATTTGTTCCAGTACCGTATAGGGTCCGACCCATTGTTGCCCCAGCTTACGGCTAGGGCGGTGATTTTTCAGATTCTTGGTCGATAGGAACGTCACGCAGTTGCGCACAGCTTAATCTTGACCCCTATGATTCGGCAGAACTCTCGCCAGAAAGCTGATATGAATTGGGGTCCGTCGGTAGGGGGTCATTCCGATCGAGGCATGGGGAAGGGTCATTTGCACCCGATCCATGATGGGAATGAGCTCGCTCCAGTTATCCTGGTAATGTGATACGAAGGGCCTCAGTCTCTGATCGATATACCGATTCATGATTTCCGTCTGCCCGTCGGTCTGCTTGTGATAGGCTGTTGACAGCTTAATCTTGACCCCTATGATTCGGCAGAACTCTCGCCAGAAAGCTGATATGAATTGGGGTCCGCGATCACTAATGATCGACTCTGGGGTGTGTCCGAATCGATATATCCATTCGATGAATAGCTGCGCCATTTGGCGGGCATCGGTGGTCTTATGACACGGTATGGACACCGAACCCTTACCGAGTCGGTCCATGAACACAAGGATGCTGTCGAATCCGTGTTTATCCTTTAGGAATTCCTTAAAGTCCATCGTTAGGTGTTGCATGGGGTATTCGGGTACCGGTAGGGGGTGTAAGAAGCCTTGCTGCTTCATCACGCTAGTGTGAGAAAGTCGGCACGTCACGCAGTTGCGCACATATCGGAGGCAATCCGCTTCCATTCTGACCCAATGATACTTCGGGGCGAGTAACTGATAAGTTTTCCTGCCACTAGGGTGGGCTACTGATACTTGATCGTGTGCTTCCCGTATGAGTTTCGTACATAGCTCGGTGTGCCGGTTTACGCACAGTCGACCTTTGTATAGCAAGAGTTGGTCCTTCATTGTAAACCCGTTAGGTAGGGGGTCTTTCGCGCGAGTGTCGGTGAACGACCTCCTATTATCCGCGCAGAGCGCTTCTATCAGGTCAAAGGGGACCTGGGTGTTCGGGGCGTCCATCGCATTGATCGAGGCCACGTACGTTTGTGCTAATTCGGCACTGATTCGGGAGTGTAGTCGGGCTGGGCCTAACAGCACCCTCGCACGGCTGTCGAGTTTGACCTTCTGTTGCGTAATCAGGTCTTGCTCTCTTCGGCTCAGTATATCTGCCTTCTGATTGTTCTTGCCAGCAGTATACGCAATAGAGAAATTGAAGTCGGAGAGTAGCTCCATCCACCGAACCTGCTTCGCCGTGAGAACCTTCGTCGACATGAAGTATTCCAGCGATCGGTGATCTGTATAGACGTCGATTCGGTGGCGTACCGATGCTAATTCTGGCCTCCATTTTGCGAACGCTTTGACGATGGCGAACAGTTCCTTGTCGTGGATCTCCCAATTGATCTCATGCCCAGATAGGACGTGACTGTACAAGCTTACAGGATACCATCGCTTGTCGGGGTGTTCCTGAGAAAGGACACCGGCTACGACTCCATCAGAAGAGTCTGTTTCCAGCTTCGTAGGCAATTTGGGGTTGAAGTGGTGGAGCGCCTGCACGGCTAAAAGCTGTCGGCGCATTTCTTCAAAAGCGTTCTCACATTCGTCAGTCCACAGGAACGGTTCTGAGGGGCTGGTGATAGTGGTGAGAGGCTTGGCTATTTTCCCGAAATTTCTGATAAATTGGCGGTAGAAGCCGCAGAATCCAAGGTAAGACTTCACGCCTGTGACAGTTGTTGGCCGGATCCAATTCCGGAGGGGTTCGATCTTCTCGGGATCCGCTTCGACACCGGTAGTAGTCAGGATATAGCCTAAATACTTTGTCCGGGTTACGTTGAACTCGCATTTCTTAATGTCGGCTTGTAGTCCTGCTTCTCGAAGCCGTTGGAGGACCTTATGTACGTGGTCCATGTGTTCCGCGGGGTCCTCGGAGTAGATTAGGATGTCGTCTAGGTAGGCAGTACAGAAGTCGTCCAAGTATTGCATAAGAACGTCGTTCATATACCTCTGATAGGTTGCGGGGCCGTTCGTTAGGCCAAACGGCAGCACTTTGCATTTGTAGGATCCATACCGAGTCCGGAAGGTCGTGTACTCCTCGGAGTCGGGGTCCATTCGTATACGATGGAAGGCTTGCCTAATGTCTAGCTTCGTGAAGATTTTTGCTTTCGACACCCGTCCTAGTAGTTCGTCGATACGCGGGATAGGGTAGGGGTCGTTACGGGTAAGTCCGTTCAACTTCCGGTAGTCGATACAAAATCTCAGTTTGCCATCTGCCTTCTTCACGAACAGTATAGGGGAGGCAAACGGGCTATTGCTATTGACTATAAAGCCCTTCTCGAGGTTCTCTAATAGGTATTGCTTAGTCGCCTTAAGCTCTTCGGTGCTTTGTCGGTATAGTGGCGAAAAGGCATTTGGTAAAGGGGCTTCTAGTTGTATCTTGTGATCGTATATGCGATGCGGGGGAAGCTGATCAGATTCCGACTTCGAGAAGACATCGGAATAGTTGCGGTGCATATGCGGAAGCTTGTCCCGAATGAGGCGGAGCGTTTCCTCGTCCTCGGCCGCTTCCCTCTCTCGGATGATCTGGTCGATGCTTGTCGTAAAGAACTCGGAGTCGCTTCGCATCATCTCATAGTGGAAAGCGTTTGCGCCAATCTCGCAAATTTGGACCGGCGTGAAGCTGCGTACCAGGGTCTGGCGTCGGGAAAGAGAGAAGACTCCGCTCCTCCCATGATTCTTTCTCTCATATGCGGATGGTCCGTTTCTTGGAGGTTTCGCCTCCACTTGCCCTAAGGGTCTGTCTTTATAGGTTTCCACGGGCGAGGCTCGTGTCCTTGGGGTTTTGGGGTGCGGGTGGGTCGTTCCCTCGTCTCGCACCGAGCTCGGTGGGGTGATCATAATAGCGTCACGATGGGCCGTTATCACTTTCATTGGTATCGAGCGTCCGCCCTCACGTCGTCTGTCGTCATGGTCGATGGCATCGTCCCGCCGGTTCGCATCCGATTGATGGGCGGGGTGACGTATAGACAGTTCACGCGAGTGGTAGGGCAAGGTGATCTCTTTGCTCCAGCTAGGAGTAGGCGGGTACTCCTTTGGCCATACTAGCCGGCTCTTTGCAGAGTCGAGTAGGATTCGGAAGCGGCTAAAAAGCTTCTTCCCAATTATCACCTCTTGCGCTCCGAGATCTAGGAGCACAAAGGGGCAGTTATATATTCGGCGTCCTTCGACTGTCAAGTGTAACCGAATATACTCCGATACGTAGCTTTGGATATTTCGCTGAAATCCACGTATGGGTACAGAGTAGGGCAGTTTCCGTATAGGGCTCTGAAGCGCTTTCGACAACCGTTGCGCGAAAGGCTTATTAATGACGAGGTAGCCATTTGCTCCTGTGTCTGCGAGTGACTTCGTTTGCACCCCGAGTCCGTTCATACTCAGGGTTGTATCAACGAGAAATTGGGAGCCTCCCAAGAGCTCTCGTAAATCCAGTCCTTGCAGATCACATTTGCGTAGACCTAGGAAGGAGCCTTTCCCTAGGCCTCGTCGTTTTCCTCCAGGGACGCATCCGACTGGTGGGCGACTGCTTCCTCCCACTGCTCTTCGTCCTCAGGGGCTTCGCGGTCAATCTCCTTGACGGTGGGGTTGAGCGGGCATTTGTCTTGGAAATGGCCCGGCTTGCCGCACTTGAAACAGTTCCCGGACGTAGCCGGCACGGCGGTCCGCACGCGGCCTGTAATGTCCGGCTTGGGGGCGGTGGCTGTGAAAGGAGTCCTCTGGAAGGAAACCAGAGGGCTTCTTGTCTGCCTCGGTGGCTGGGCCTTTCCGGGGTCCACGGGCGTGAACCTGGATGAGCTCAGGCGGGCGGGTCCTCGGGAGCTTGACTCGCCGCTCTTGGACGGGAAGCTCAACTCGTTGTTCCGGCGCCGCTCCTGATCGAAGGCGGTGAGTTCTCGGACCATGGTGTGGTAGTCTCCCTTCCATTGACTTTTGATAACCGCTACGCGGCTACGGAATTGAGGGGTCAACTTGTTCCACATGTACCGAAACCATTCTGACTCGGTGACCTGTCCTGTAATAGCTGCACTTTGGAAGCGAGCTTTGAACTCTGAGAAAGTCTCGTTTGTATGTCCTTTCTCTCCCATTTGGAGGTCGTCGAAGAGGTTCCGGGCCTGTTCCGTTTCGTTGCCAATGAGGTAATATGAACCCAACAGGTCCATCATCTCGTCGGCACTCCGAAACCCGTGTGTCGCGGATAGGTATTGGGGTTCGAGGTATTTCTTTGCCAGGCCAGTCATAGTCCCCCATATCAACGCTCTTCTCGAGACGTCGGTAGGGTAGTGATCCTCATTGACTACGAGGCGGTCCCGAATGGACACGCTCCATTGCATAAAGGTATGTTCTATCCCATCGCTGAGCGGCGTAATCTTCTCAGAGATGGTGGATTTCTTGTAGCGATTCGGAGGGTCTTCGGAATACATCCTCGGAATCGATGGAGAACGAGTGTTTCGAAGAGGCGGCAACTGAACTGTCTCGGGGGTGTTTCGCATAGGGGAAGTTCGTCGCTCCTCAACTTCGACGGTGTCCACCGGTGGCGTGGACGGGATCCTGGTCTGGGTTGCCGCTAGGTTGGCTATCATTTCCTTGATCTCCTGCATCTGGATCTCGAGGTTTGCCATTCGATCCGGTATGTCTTCGGTGGGTGCAGCAGTCCCAGCTGCAGCAGTGGTTTGTCTCGTTGACATTCGTGACGGTTGACCATCATTGTCTTGGGGGACGTTTGAGGTCATTTTCCTCATGTTGGTTCGGGGGTGTATCGGTGTCAATACGAAAGAGTTTGACTTCCGGTAGCTCGTAGCTATCAACACTCTTGTTCACAATTACCTCTGTGCTTGAGGGGGTTCTTAAGGATCTCGTATCCTATTCGGCGCCAACGCGTCGGCGACTTTACCAGCTTGCTCTGCAGGATCAAACCCTGATCCACTGGTCGTCCGTGAGTTCTCTGGGGTCACGGCTATTTGAAGTCGTCAGGTCTCAGCTCCGTCGCAGTTTCCGAGTCGCGGTCGGTGGTGTAACGGTAGTTCTCCTGAGTCGTTCCAGTGTGGGATATTCTTTGAGTACGGCCGTCCCCGGCAGGCGTGATCTTTTTTGTATAATGTAAGGACGCAGGGCACCGTATCACGAGAAGTGGCATATGGGAGTGCGAGTCGGATATGAGTCGGTGCAATCCTATAGGTCTACTACGAAGGATACAAAAAAGATGAAGGTGTAACCCTGTATGACTGTTCCCTTAAAATACCCGAAACCGCTCCGACTCAGCTAGCTCCCTGTTTGCCTAAGGCTTCCTTACGTTATGTGCCTAAGGCTGTCAGTCGCGACTGACCCGTAACGGCCCCGAGTCTCGATGACGCCACGTGACGGCCGTAACTACCCCGAGTAAGGAGGCATCCTTACAATTTTTGCTACTGTTACTGCATTAGCTAAAGGGACAGAGATTTTGGCACATGAAATGACTTTATTGTCAGCTGAAGTCCGCACCCTTCGAGCAGCAAACGAAGCTCTTAGCAAACGCCGGAGGGCTAAAAAGTCTTGTGTCCGTCAAGGGTGTGCACTTTCTGTAGGGGATGCACATGATGATTTGTCCCAAAGGGCAGTTACGGAGCAAATAAATCGCCAGAAGCGCTCTGGAGGGGTTGGTAGGAATGAGGGGCAACCAGGTGTACGACATTGTGGCACTTGCGGGGGGGCTGGCCATAATGCACAAACTTGTCAGGAGGTCATAGAAGTACTTAGCTCATCAAATTCTGAATAGTTTTAGTTTTAATACATGTTGTGGTTGTTTAATTATACCTTACAGTGGTGGGTATAAAAAAGTTTCACGACTCGGTGACATTCACGACTCGGTGACATTCACGACTCGGTGACATTCACGACTCGGTGTACAACCACGTTATACTAAAATAGTATTAATAATACAGTATTATCTCGTTGAGTCGATGTAATTGGTCATGCATAAATATATCGAGTTATAGTAATATCGAGTTAGAAAGTGATCTGAAGTAGACGCGAAGTACCCCTCAGCTAAACCATCCATCCATCCAACGTGCCTTGAACCAACTCATTGGCCTGTTAATTGCCTCTCCACTTGCTCTAAAGAGCGCAAAAATGATGCTGGATCCGTGATGCCACTATTCTCAGATTCTGGGAACTCAATCAGAACTTGGAGGGCTTGTATAGCATGAGCACAGGACGCTGGGGCTCCTTGAGCATCAGAAACCTGTATATATGGAGCCATCGCCTCCTGTAGAATTGTGTCCTCATCTAAGCCTCTCTCCACCTCTTGTATTCCCTCCTCTGCTGGATTCAAAAAGTTTGAAAGGTCCATAGTGTCATGACACTCCTTCGATATTTGTGTCATGACCCTTCGATTCACTTTAGTCTCTAGTACTTATTTCACTATGTCATTCACTTCACCTGCTTCGCTCACTTCACTCACTTCGCTTCACTTGCTGACCTAGATCAGCCCAAATGTTGACTACTGGCTTAGGCTCTCTTGTTATTGGCTCGCTCACTAGGGCTAGCTTAGCTAGGGTTCAGTTAATTAGTAGTGCCTTCGCTTATTTGGGACTAGGGATTTTTACTGTTATATAAGCACTTATTGCTCATGTCTCTTATTGATCTTTAGCTAGCAAATTATACACTACTTGGCCTTCTTGCAATTCCTCCTGCTTCGACTTACTTTTTGCATTCCCTTACTTCGAGTCGAACCACTTGGCCAACCTGTGAGTCTCACCACTTGACCCCTGTGGTATAAAGTATATGCTTTGGAGCCTGAACTACTATACCTTGTCCTACTGCTTCGAGCATCAAAGTCTTCACATTATACTTCAGATACTTCTGCAGGCTCGAATGTCAGCCTCGGTTCGAGCTGTCCTTACACTTTGAGTCTGCAGAAGTATCTGAAGTATAATGTGAAGACTTTGATGCTCGAAGCAGTAGGACAAGGTATAGTAGTTCAGGCTCCAAAGCATATACTTTATACCACAGGGGTCAAGTGGTGAGACTAACAGGTTTGCCAAGTGGTTCGACTCGAAGTAAGGGAATGCAAAAAGTAAGTCGAAGCAGGAGGAATTGCAAGAAGGCCAAGTAGTGTATAATTTGCTAGCTAAAGATCAATAAGAGACATGAGCAATAAGTGCTTATATAACAGTAAAAATCCCTAGTGCCAAATAAGCGAAGGCACTAATTAACTGAACCCTAGCTAAGCTAGCTCTAGTGAGCGAGCCAATAACAAGAGAGCCTAAGCCAGTAGTCAACATTTGGGCTGATCTAGGTCAGCAAGTGAAGCGAAGTGAGTGAAGTGAGCGAAGCAGGTGAAGTGAATGACATAGTGAAATAAGTACTAGAGACTAAAGTGAATCGAAGGGTCATGACACAAATATTGAAGGAGTGTCATTCATGACACGAAGGTCAGCCTCAGTATGACCAGCGTGGGTGTATAGGAAGCTGTATTGGGCGTTGTATTGGGCGTAAAAGAATCGTGCTTTTTCGAAAGCAATTGTAGATAGTCGTATCTGTAATGTTGTGATGCCACGATCAAATAAGCCAGCGAATTGTAAAGTGTATTGTCATTGTTTTGATTGGATCCAGGTTGTTGCTAAAAGATTCGAGCATGAACTTGAGCCATTGCCGATGATAATAGCTTTTTAAAGAGGCTATAATACCCTGATCAAGAGGTTAATATCGACTGGTCGCATTTGGAGGAAGCCAGATAATTCATGTGTTTGTGTAATGGTGGATGCACCAGATGTGAGAATCTAGCCACCCAAGGAAGGGATGATTTTACTAAGACAACACACTGTCTTAGGAAAAAGAGCCAAAGGGTTGTAGCTTAGACTATTCCACAACGCAGCAATCAGGTGTATGATGTAGTGGAGTGGTTTAGACAAGTTGTAACAAATGTTGAGTCTGAGAACTCAGGGATAAGTCAGAGGTTAGCACCTCACTGACTTTTCAGAAACAAGGAGTAACAAGATCAATGCTTAGAAGCTTGGAAAAGACGTGGAAGTATGTGATAGTCGATTTACTGTATTTTCTGCTTGCTCTTTCTTAAGGAAAGAGCAATCCTATTTATGCTAAAGGAGTGTAGTTCTCTCATTTTCCATGACTTTCCATAACTAACCAGGCTTGGTAACTGTAGTCGACGTAAGAGAATCCCATAGAACCATCTCCTAGGTTCCTAGCCTATAGGAAGTGAAAGGAGGTGCAAGGTCAGAGTACCCCTATCGACAGATTATGTCATAACTTAACCAATCTTGTGGGTAACTAAGGAGCGATGACGTGTAATGAATCATAGATGGTTGTAGAAGCTTTTGGAGCTATTGTTCATTTTCCTAGGCCTCTAGTTGATAGAGATATGTCATGTGTAGTATTAGCCCAGTGTTTGGCTAAGTGCTAGTGCTATGGCTAGCGCTTACGGCTGCAACCTCACATGATGGATAACATTGGATATCATGGATATTATGTTATCCATGTTATCCACGGGGATCCACGGAATATCAGGTGATGGATAACATTGGATATCATGGATATTATGTTATCCATGTTATCCACGGATATCCCTTTGGCACGACACCACTATATAAGTAGATAGTACTTCCTTAGATAGGAGCTTCGTGCTCAACTCAATATAGTATTCTTTACAATACTGTAATGTGTTACTTGGAAAGCCTTTGTGTTTAATCCCCTGCCTCCTCTGTCAAGTCAACCTTACTGTCATACTGACATTCGTTGCACTCAGTTTGCTATCAAACTCAAGAGCAAACTTAGAAATCTCCTCCTCAAACCTACAAGTCACTATACATATTTTGGCTTGTCACACCAACAACAAGAGCAATACTACTCAACGATTGCTACAACCCGACGTCATTGCTCCTTAGTTACTGGGCCGATATGACCACATAGCATATCTCTACAACCCTCTATGATTCATTACATGACATCACTCCTTAGTTACTGGGCTAATACTACACATGACATATCTCTATCAACTAGAGGCCTAGGAACATGAACGATAGCTCCAAAAGCTTCTACAACCCTCTATGATTCATTACACGTCATCGCTCCTTAGTTACCCACAAGATTGGTTAAGTTATGACATAATTTATCTATAGGTACTCTGACCTTGGACCTCCTTTTCACTTCCTATAGGCTAGGAACCCAAGAGATGGTTCTATGGGATTTTCTTACGTTCACTACATGATTAGCAAGCTAGTTGTGGGTCGCACTTGATTTCTAATACATTTACCAAGCCTGGTTAGTCATGGAAAGTCATGGAAAATGAGAGAACTACACTCCTTTGGCATAAATAGGATTGCCCTTTCCTTAAGAAAGGGCAAGCAGACAATACAGTAAATCGACTATCACATACTTCCACGTCTTTTACAAGCTTCCAAGCATTCATCTTGTTACTCCTTGTTTCTGAACAGTCAGTGAGGTGTTAACCTCTGACTTACCCCTGAGTTCCCAGACTCAACATTTGTTGCAACTTGTCTGAACCACTTCACTACATCACACACCTGATTGCTGCGTTGTGGAACAGTCTAAGCTACAACCCTTTGGCTCTGTTTTCTAAGACAGTGTGTTGTCTTAGTAAAATCATCCCTTCCTTGGGTGGCTAGATTCTCACATCTGGTGCACCCATCATTACACCTTGCCTGCTTCAAGCTTCAACTATTTCTATAGCAGCACTTCGATACTACAATGGAGGACGACCAAGCTCCTACAACTACTGCTGAACAGCAGATGCAACAACTGTTTGCCTTTATACAAACTATAGCAAACAAACTTGAGAATTTGGAAAACACCTTTCAAGCCAACACTTCAGCAACACAATCTTCAACTCAGACACATCATACAGAGCTTCCCACAGCTCCTCTGGCTATTTCGAGTACCCCAGGTGCACTTCCTAAAGTGCAAACACCAGATTTATACCATGGAGACAGGAGGAAGTTGAAGGGATTCCTTATGCAACTGGACATCTACTTCACCCTCAGGCCTCATCAGTTCACCTCAGACATTCAGAAGATCTATTTTGCTGCCAGCTACCTCCGTGGATCTGCATTCAACTTCTTTGAGCCATATCTTAGAAGACTTAGTGGCAACAAAAATACCACTACACCTTTGATTACCTCTTATGACCAGTTTCAAGAGGAACTTACCAGGACCTTTGGAGACATCAACGAAACTTCTACAGCAGAAAGAGAGCTACAGAAGCTATGTCAAAAGACCTCTGCTGCTCAGTATACAACAGAATTTAGGAGAATCACTTCTTACTTGACTTGGAATGAAGAAGCCTTAGTCTTCACTTACTACCAAGGGCTCAAGAGCTCTATTAAGGATGAACTCAGCAAAGAAGAACGCCCTACAACACTTCAAACGCTTATAGAGAAAGCTGTCAGACTTGATGATAGGCTTTTTGAAAGAAGAAAGGAGAAGAACCAAGACTGGCATCCAACAAGAAATTTCAACAATTACACCTCTACACCAACTGCTAAGGACTCAGCACCTGCACCTATGGACTTAGACGCCTCTATAAAGAGATCTACAGCAAATCCAGCACCTCAGCCTACAAGAAGCCCTCAAAAAGTGAAAAGGGGTAAACTTACTCCTCAAGAAAGAAAACACAAAATGGACAACAACCTTTGTTTATACTGTGGCAAAGGGGGGCACAGAATTCAGGAGTGCTATTCAGCACGGGGGAGTGCTGAATCAAAACATATAGCAGCCTCAGACACAGTCACAGCTGCTATTCCTGAAAAACTTGAAAAATCCCCACCAGGCACAACTTCAACTGAGACTACAACTTCTCCCCTAGACAACAAAGATGTGACGATGGTGCTTTCTCAGAGTTTCACACACCTGTTAATCCCTATTCAACTCCATTTCAAACAACAGGTGTTATCTACAAGGGCTATGATAGACTCAGGGGCAACAGGCAACTTTATATCTCAAGACCTCATCTTGACACACCAGTTACCTACAATTCCCAAACGCACTCCAGAGTTGCTCCGAGTCATTGATGGAACTCCTATCAGTTCAGGTTCCATTACCTGCAACACCCCAGTACTCAAACTTGAGATTCCCCTAGGAAAATCAACATTTTCAGACACCATCTCTTTAGATGTTATACCAATGAAGTACTCAGTCATCCTAGGTCTTCCATGGCTTCAAAGGCATGATCCAACTATCAATTGGAAGCATTTATCGCTTGGGTTTAGCTCAAATCCGGAGCTCAATACTGAAAAAACCCTTCAAGCCTCAGTTACCCCTATTCAGGTCCAAGACTCAGACTTGTCCCAGATCAAGGATTTTGACCAAACTATGGACGATATATCATCTCTGATATGGGTTAAACCTTTCCAACCTGTCCTGGAGATAGCAGCTACTTCAGATTTGGAGAAATCATCTCAGGAGGTCATTTTGCCTTTAGCATACCAAGACTACCAACATCTTTTTGACAAGGCAAAGGCATCAATTCTGCCAAAGCACCAGCCTTATGACCATGAGATACCACTCGCAGAAGGCTCAATGCCTCCCTACGGCCCTATCTACTCTCTATCTAAATTAGAGCTGAAAACTCTCAGAGAATACCTAGATGAGAACCTTAGTTCTGGCTTTATCAGACCTTCTTCCTCACCAGCAGGAGCTCCCATTCTCTTTGTCAAGAAGAAAGATGGCTCCTTGCGTCTCTGTGTTGATTATAGGGGCCTCAATGCAGTCACTGTTAAAAACAGATATGCTTTACCCCTTATCCCTGAGCTCATAGATAGGCTCTCTTCAGCAAGGATCTTTACCAAGTTAGATCTCAGGGGAGCTTATAACCTGATACGCATCAAGGAAGGTGATGAGTGGAAGACAGCATTCAGAACACGCTATGGTCATTTTGAATACCAGGTAATGCCTTTTGGGCTTGCCAATGCACCTGCTTCTTTCCAAGCTCTCATGAATGATATTCTAAGACCTTACTTGGATATCTTTGTTGTTGTCTACTTAGATGACATTCTTATATACTCTTTAGACACTCAAGAGCATGTTCTACATGTTAGACAAGTCTTAGAGAAGCTATCTCAAGCACAACTCTTTTGCAAACTTGAGAAATGTCTTTTCCATATGTCTCAAGTTGATTTCTTGGGACATAGAATTTCAACAGAAGGCATTCAGATGGACCCTGAAAAGACAAAAGCAGTACAAACGTGGCCTATTCCTTCCAGCATTAAAGAGGTTCAGTCTTTCCTTGGGTTTGCCAACTATTACAGGAGGTTTATACCAAGATATACATCCTTGGCTTTACCCCTTACTCAATTACTCCACAAGGACACTTTGTATCACTGGGATAAGACACAGCAAGATGCTTTCAATGCTCTTAAAGGAGAATTTAAAGAAGGGAAAATGTTACTACACTTTAACCCCTTGAAACCTGCCACTCTTGAGACAGATGCCTCAGATTTTGCTATTTCTGGAATCTTATACCAAGCTCCAAAAGACAAACAAGAAGAGCTACAGCCTGTGGCATTTTACTCAAGAAAGCTATCAGCAGCTGAACAAAACTATCCCGTTACAGACAAGGAACTGCTTGCCATAGTATGTTCTCTAAAGCATTGGAGATGCTACCTTGAAGGGGCAAACTATCCTATCACTATTTACAGTGACCATTCAAATCTCTTGACCTTTACAACCACTAAACAGCTCAATCGACGACAAGCAAGGTGGTCTGAACAACTAGGAGGTTTTGACTTTGTTATAAAACATGTCTCAGGGGCCAAGAATCAAAGAGCAGATCTCCTCTCAAGAAGACATGACTACCAAGATTCTGCTAAAACTAGCAATACAAAGGCTCTGCTAGACTCAGCAAAGCTTATAGCAGCATCTTTAAGCAACCCTAGTACTACAGAGGACTTAGGGGTAAACTTATCCCCTCAAGACCAAGTTGCCCCCATTACCTCTTCTCAGGAACCAGAGACCTTTAAAGACTATACACCCTCAGCAACACTTCTTAAAGCATTCAAAGATGCTTACAACCATGATCCCTTTGCGAAAAGAACTTTGGAATACCTCCAGAAGAAAGGTTCCTCTCTTGAGAAAGTTGGACTACAGAATTTCTCAAAAAATCAGCATGGACTTCTCTTATTCAAGAACTATATCTATGTCCCAAGGGATAAACGATTACAGCTACACCTCCTACAGCAGTTCCATGATGCTCCGATAAAGTGAATCTTTCAAAGTGCTGACTGTACATGTGCTATCACTTGGTTTCGTTCATTGTTGTAGCATCTCATTGTCCATTTATGTATTGTACTGTGACTTGTTAGAAGCCAGTTATTAACCTCAAGATTGAGGTATGCAAGGAGGTTTCTGAATTCAGAGATTTTGACTATATTAAATGAGACCGAACAATGTGATATCTATTAAATAAAGAGCTGCTTAAGAGTTGATGGGTTGATTGTGGTTGATTGAACTAAGTCAAGATGACATCGTTTGTATTGCATTTCAAGGCCTCGTTATAACGCTAACTTCTAAACGATAAAAGACACAAGGTTTCTTGCGTAAGGTTGACTTAACAGAGGAGGCAGGGGATTAGACAAAAAGGCTTTCCAAGTAACATGTTATAGTATTGTAAAGAATACTATATTAAGTTGAGCACAAAGCTCCTATCTAAGGGAATACTATCTACTTATATAGTGGTGTCGTGCCTTATAGGTAATCCAGATAGTTGATGGATAGCTAGATAATCTAGATAGTTGATAGATAGCTTAACTATCTAATATCCACTAGTTTCTGCAACTATCCACTAGCCTGGTTAGGCTGCAGCCTAGCCCTGCTAGTCCCGTGACTTCCTAGGTCACGTTACTAACCCTAGTTCTAATAGCCCTGTAACTGACATCACGTTACCATAGCCGTAACACTGGTGCCATCGCAGTAGAGATACTTAATTGCTAAAGGGTGTTTTGTTGCTCCTGGCTATTAACAATCTCATGTACAGTTTGTAGATGAACTGCAATAAATGCTGTACCACTAGACTCTCTATACTCCTTTAGACAATACTTACAATGCTAGTATATAGCCTTAGAGCCTTCCTGTTGATATATTGTGTTAATTGGACCCGGCATATGCTTCTATACAAAGGATGTCTGCGCCTAATGCTTTTCTGTTGGTTTTCGTCTATATCGTTTGGTAGAAGAGGAGGATGTGACTTAATCGAACGATTTGAGGTCTGGAGTATCGTTGCTAGAAAGAACACTTGATTTAGGGGGTGGCGATGATGCGCCTAAAGGGCATTTTTGTCTTAATACAATAGTATTTACATTAAAGGCGTCAATTTCTACAGGACAAGAGATCGCTGAAAACTCTATCTCATACCCTATTAATATTGCAATATCCTAGCCATATATTGCAATAGGTAATTTTGAATATTGCACTGCAACAATATCGTAATTTTTACTATTGCAATGCAAATAATATTGCAATAACTAGTATTGCAATAGTCAAATACTACTGCCAACACTAGCTAGGCTCAAGTGCCAGCTTAGCCTAGGACTAAGCTTACTAACCTATAATGAAGAGAGCTATAGCAGCTACTTAAAGAGCGAAGGCTTCTATGGTACGCAAGTATACAAAGAAGCATGATATCCAACACTTTGATATTAGAGCTATAGTCTCTATTAAGGTTCCTTAAGAGGATAGAACCTCAACTAATAATAAGAGGCTCTTTTCACGCATTCTAGACAAGCCTTACCTACACTAATATCAGGTTCTTGCACTCTCTAGTATAATACAATGCCTTATACCTACAAAATCACTTGGAGTTGTAGAAGCTCTCTAGTCTGATATCTTAATTCCTACTTCTACAAAGCAAGTAACGCTAGGGCTTGCAGCTAGAGAGGCTTCTACAAGCGCACGGGTTGGAATATCATGCTAATGCAAAGGACAATGTAGTATAAAGAGGTGCCGTTGTTATAAGGAAGCAAAGGAGTGTAGTATACACTGCCATAATGATGATCATGACTGTGCAACTCAGGCCTAGCTACTCGTACAGAATTGGCTTTAATTGAGAGGCCAAAGCGGAGGAAGCGGGCAAGAGCAGACACTGTTGGAAACGTAGTATAGAGCGATTTAATATTTACTATTATATTATACTATTCGTGGTTGGGCTAGCCCATTCGCGAATGGGCCGGCCTATTCGCGAATGGGCCGGCCTATTCGCGAATACAACTTATCCGTGGTTGGGCTGGAACACATATCTTACCCGGCCAAGGTCCCCGCACATACTCCGACTAAGCTGCGGCTCCGTTGTTGTTCAACGTTGCGGCGTAAATATAAGACGATATGGAGGAGCAAATCACTCGTTTGGTAGATAAATTACAAAGTATGCATGCCCCGATATTTCAAGGCCAAGGCACAGCTAACAGACCGCGGCAGACAAGGTTTCAGAGCTCCCACCTGACTCCCGATACCTCGTAGCCATCTCTGGCATCCCAGGCTCCGGTAACCATTCACAGCCCCATTTAACCCTTCATAACCACAAACTAACCACCCTCACGCAGGCAAAACAACTCTAGCCCTAGCCATAACTGGACGCCTCAATGACTCCCACGCCTCTTCCCACCCCTCCTCCCCACCCCTAGCCGTCTACGTCCCTATGGACGGCTTCCACCTCACTCGCGCCCAACTAAGCGCCATGCCCAACGCCGCCGAAGCTCACCAGCGCCGCGGCGCCCCCTGGACCTTCGACCCCCAAAAACTCCTCGATTTCGTGCTTGCGATGAAGGACCCCTCGCGGGGGACTGTATTCGGGCCGTCGTTTGACCACGCGCTTAAGGATCCGGTGGAGGGGGATGTGAGGGTTGATGAGAGCGCGCGAGTTGTGGTGCTGGAGGGGCTGTATTTGAGTCTTCGTGGCGGGGTGTGGGGGGAGGTGGGGGCGGAGATGGATGAGCGGTGGTTTGTGGATGTGGAGAGGGAGATGGCGACGGGGAGGGTGGTGGAGCGGCATGTTAGGAGTGGGGTTTGTGGATCGAGGGGGGAGGCGGTGGAGAGGGCGACGGGGAGTGATGCGTTGAATGCGGAGGAGATTTTGGGGGGGAGGGGGGAAGTGGAGGAGGTTATTAGGAGTGTGCAGGATGAGGCGTGGGCGGGGTTGAATGTTGATGATGATGAGTAGGGGGGGATCAGGGCGCGATATTACACGGCGTTTCACTACTGTTGGGGGCTATTGTAGTTGAAGCGATATGGTATTTATTCCAGTTCAGGGTATCGGATTGAAAGGGGCTACTTGCTCTCTGATTCGGCATTACGGAGTAATCGCAGGACGTCAGAGACAAGGTATAAACTCCCTGCGATGACCAGGGGCCCGCCTGCCGAGGTATCAGCTGCCCAGCGCAGTGCTCCCAAAACATCACTGCCAGCCTCATACTGCTGTTGTGTTTCAACACCAGCGCTGGAAATGCTGCTAAGGATACCCGCCGATGCCATAGGGTGAACCCACGGCATTCCATCAACGGGCCCGAATTCAGTCGTTACCACGTTGTCGCCAGACTGCACAAGGGGCTTCAGAATGCTATTGAGCTCTTTCCCTGCTGATGCGGCGAGGACCCATGTCACCTTAGTCGAATTTGGGCGCAGTTTGCGATCGACGAAAGCTCCGAGGGCTGCTGCTGATTGCGCATTGTGTGCGCCATCAAGTGTGGTCGGCTCCTGCCGCCCGGTAATAACGCCGATTCCTATTTGCTGCAACCTCCCTGGCCATTGTAATTTTCGTACAGCACGCAAGATCTGGTCCAAGGGAGGGTTGGGGTTCCCGGTTGCTATCTGAAATGCGTTGTATGCGCACGCGAGGTTATCCAACTGATGCGGCTCGAAATTATCTTCCGATATCTCCTTGGCAACAGCAGAGCCCGTTGCGCTCAGGGTGACCTCGGTGCCAATGTCCCGAGCATGCTTTTCTACGACTTCCCGAACAGAAGGGGGGTTGGTGCTGTCTAGCACACAGGGTACTCCTGGTCTCATGATGCCTGCCTTTTGCAGTGCTATTTCCTCAAGTGTGTTTCCCAGGAACGACTGGTGGTCAAGTCCCATCTTGGAGATAACAGTGACAGCCTTGTTCTCCAGGATATTTGTCGCATCCAATTTCCCACCCAACCCAACCTCTATCACGCCCATCTCGATCTTCTCTCGTGCGAATATTTCGAACGCAGTGGCGGTCAGGAGCTCAAATTCAGAGGCGCCGACCCCCTCATCCTTGTTCCTGTTGTTGACCAGGCGCTCAGCCTCGAGAAATACCGACTCCTGCACCGCCTTATCGTTGATCGTGATGCAGTCCCACCTGTCCATGAGGTGCGGGGATGTGAAACGGCCGCTTCTGATGCCGCTGGCCTGTAGCATGGCCGAAAGGTACGCGCATATTGTTCCCTTCCCATTGGTACCCGCGACGTGAATCGCCTTCCAGGTCTGAGGCGTGTGTTGAACCAGGCGCGCAATGCGCCTCAGGCCAAGCTCTATCATCTTCCAGCTGTCGCGGCTCGCATTTCGAGTAAACGAAACCTAGAATTCACCTCCGAGTCATCGCAGTCGCCAAGGTACCAGCTGCTGTCGTCGTCGTTGCAGCTGTTGCGGTGCTGCTGGCTATATTTCAGACGTGAGTCAGTCTCTTTGGAGCACTGAGGTCGTAAATCTTCAGAATCGATGATGTTCCTGAAATATTTTAGCGCGAGTTCTTAGCGCGATTTCGGAACAAAAAGCCACAGATACAAGGTACTTTCAGTGCTGTACTGGAGCATTGTTACCTCGGGGGCGCACGATCTGATTGGCTGATGAATTTTGTCACCCCGTCACGCTTTACATCGCCCGCCCGCCTCCCCAATAATCCGTCACTTCAGGTATCTCACTCCCAAAATCAATTGACGCCGTCGACCCCTACGTCTGAGAATATTATCTGAAATCTTTCCGAATTCATCGCGATTTCTATAACCCCAATTCGCGACCGTCCTTCTCTCCACAAATCCAAACACTTGTCGAACTCTACCCCAGAGTTGCGCGCCACATCTGACATGGGCCTGCCGTAAGTTGCCTTCGCGATTAGCCCCAATCAACATGCTCTGCGGTTGCTAACATGAATTCACCAACAGATTATTCGTAACGCCTGCCCATAACGGGACATCGCCGAGGCCTGGTGACAAGGAAACTTCCAATGAGCGAACTACCATTCGGAGACAACGTACCGCCCGTCGCGGGCGCACTATCTCCAGCAGCGAGCGCCTACGAGTCCGAAATGGAGGCAGATTCTCTTTCCAGGAGCCACCAAGCATAACTTCGCTAATGGAAGAAAGCGCTGCCGCTGCTCTAGAAGAAAGAATCACCAGGACTACCATGGAGGAGCGCTGGCGGCGCGCGCAAATGCAAGGCGCACCCGTCCTGATTCCTTCGCCTTGGGCCGACCGTTCCACGCCCCCTCTACCATCAATGGCAGAGAACCCTGCTCCCCGCGTCATGCCCCCGAATCCTTGGGGTTGGAACTCGCAACCTGATGGGCCACTTCTTCCTCCTGCGCCAGAGTCCCCCCCTCTGTTCGCGGCTCGGGCGGCTTGGAGGAGTGCGCCGCCCACAGGATATGATCGGCGAGTAGTTATCCAACGGCTGTACAATGATCGTGCACAAGCCCGCCGCGCAAGGATTGCTATTGCCGCCCGGAACCACCCTTCGAGAAGCATAAGGCTTTCTGTTGCTGAGCAAAATGCATTTTTAGAAGCACAGAATGAGTTGCTCAATTCCCTGACGGAGGAACAATTGATGGCTTCGGATGCTGACCCCTTGGGAACACCGCCTCCTTGGATGAACAGCTCAATCCTATCCCAGGTCAGTCCGCCATATCCATCTATATAATTCGGTTTTCTAACGTGCCATCTAGCTGAGAGATGAACAAAGCGCAAGTGTTTTGCCAAGCGCAAGTGCCTTGCCGCCTTCAGAGAACAACTCTGCAGAGAGGCGCCGATTCCGTCTACCACGCGTTGATGGCCTTGGCGACCGTGAGCGGAGTTTAAGCCCTGGCGGAGACGGAGAATGGGACACTTTGCTCACCACCATCAGTCCCGACCCGCAGCCGCCAAGTGCAGGGTCGTCTTTCGCATCGACATCTGCCTCTGACGCTGCCTCGTCAGTACCAACTTCCACGTCTTCCGCTACGTCAATAGGGCCGCCGATAGAAGTCGATTATGGTACCTCGTTTGAGAACATTTGCGAGTATGTTGAGGCTAATTCGCCATCATCGGATCCGGACGAGGAGGAGCAGGAGATGTTGGATTTTTTTGATGCCCGTGAAGCTGGAGAGAGGTTCTGGCGCGGATACACAGATTTTGTGGCAGCGCGAGCTGACCGAGTCGCTAGACACGCGAGTCAAGCTGATGGGGAGAGTATGGGAGGCATGCAACGCATTGTCCGGCGACTGGCTCGCAGACAGGACATTCCAGATGAGTGGTGGGCAGAAGTTGGACTCAGCCGGACTATACCTCGCGAGCTGGTCCAGTCATGATAAAAGCAGGAAAAGTTTCAGTTTTTTATGGGAAAGCGCACATCACTGATATTCTCGCTTCTGGGGGCGTCCAAAACCATGGGCTGCGTGGGAGACGAGGAGGCGCCATTATGGAGGCGATTTGATATCACTGTCGACAACGTATGTAATACACATGTAAAGTAACTTGCTTGAACTGCAAAAAAAAGCACGATATCCACGGCGACCTCTCGTTATCATAATAGCTTAGTTGCTTCACAGACCAGGGGAAGCTGGTACTTGCCTTAGCTGTACGAAAGCTGACATCTTGCATCATTAATCTTGACCAGATAGAAGGTTATCATAAATGGACACTCAATTCCACTGTGAAAACAAACTTTATAGAAAACTGCAGCTTGCTCTAGTTTGTGTATTTTTCAATTTCTTGAGTCCTTTGATATTATCCTCGGAGTGTATTTGTTATTCCTTGGCTCCACTTCGGCCTCGGATTAACATGCATGGGTCTCGACGACGATGAGAGGGCCATCCCTTTTCGGTAGACGCAAGCCACATCCTCAGCCTTACCTAGGGAGACCCCTGCAACCAAGTATACTGGGCGTTTGCCAGCTCAATTTCGGAATTTAGCTCGTACAGACCGGCCAATGCGACTGACTCCCTAACCGATCCTCCCATAGCCCGTCAAGCTTGAGGCTACGACCACCAGACCACGAAATCCCCACGACAAGAGCCCGAAGACGCCGTGCGTGCTCCCCCAAAGACGAACTGCCCCCCGATCCTGTCAATACAGCCGCGACCCTTGCCTATAAGCCGGGCCCCTCCTCCGAACTGCCATAGGTGAAACGCAAAGACGAGATTCGTGGATCGAGGACTGAGGCAGGGCAGATGATGTGATGAGACGTTCTCCAGCACGGCTTGCTTCGTTTCTCTCTATCGGCATACAATAGCGTTGCTGCCACCGCAAGACGCATGGTCATGGTTTTCCATGCGCCATCGTCAGGGGAGCGGCAGGCGAACGGCAGAGCTGGGGCACAGGGACGCGGAAATGGAAGAGTAGAGAGGGCACATGGGACACCTAGGAAGGAGGGTGCGGTGAAGGAGAAGGCGGTGCAGGATCCCGGGTTGAAAGACTACGTGAGTTCGGCGGCTACAAACCAACGCCATATATGGGCATTGTCTGACTTACTGTGCTTTCAGCGCTTAGGAGAGTGTATCGGAAAGGGCGCGTTTGGGTCGGTGTATAAAGCATTCAACTGGGGAACTGGGGAGGCGGTGGCCGTGAAGCAGATCCGTATTGCGGACTTGCCCAGGAGTGAATTACGCAACATCGAGGTATGCTCAGAAGTTACAATGCCTTGGACTGAACTGACATTTTGCAGGCTGAAATCGATTTATTGAAGAACTTGAATGTAAGTCTTTGTCCACGGTGGCTTTCGTGGGCGGCAAGGGCGGAGCCGGTACTAACTGTCTCAGCATGATAATATTGTCAAGTATCTGGGTTTTGTGAAGTCACCAGAGTGTTTAAACATCATTCTCGAGTAAGTCTTGCTGCTCAATTGGTCATAAAACGCTTTCTAAGTATGTCAGATATTGTGAGAACGGCTCTCTGCATTCGATATGCAAGAACTTCGGAAAGTTTCCCGAGAATCTGGTTGGAGTATATATGGCGCAGATACTGCAGGGTCTCCTTTACCTGCATGACCAGGGTGTTATTCACAGAGATATTAAAGGCGCCAATATTTTGACCACCAAAGATGGAAAGGTAAAGCTTGCCGACTTCGGTGTATCCACGAGTACCCTGGCCGCAACAGGAGACAAGGAAGCCCAAGTTGTAGGCACGCCTTATTGGATGGCACCAGAAGTTATCCAGCTTTCAGGGGCAACTACTGCTTCAGATATATGGAGCTTGGGCTGCACTGTGATAGAGCTTCTGGAGGGAAAGCCACCGTATCATAAACTGGCACCAATGCCTGCATTGTTTGCCATTGTCAATGATGACCATCCGCCTCTTCCAGAGGGTGTCTCTCCTGTAAGCTATCCCACCCCTGATCTGATGTTGAAGTTTCTCATGGCGATTATAGGCGGCTCGCGATTTCTTGATGCAATGCTTCCAAAAGGATCCCAATCTCAGAGTTTCAGCTCGCAAACTCCTAAAGCACGCATGGATTGTGGGATCTCGCCGAAGCGATGCTCCGATACCTAAGCCACCGGCGAACTTCAATGAAGCCGTTGAGGAGGTTAAACAATGGAACGAAGCTCTGCGGTCTCCGAACAATGGATCTTTGAAGACGTCAACAAGGTCAAGTGTTGCAAGCCCTCTTCCACAAAGAAGAGATGCCTCCTTACGGAATGTGCACAACGAGCAGCAATCTTCTGCATTGGGGGTGCCTGCCAAGGGCCCCTTGGTGTTAGCAAAGCCTCGAATTTACGCCGAGGCTTTTCGGACTCCTGAGGCGATCGGTAAGTTGTTTGTTTACTACCTCGCCTACTCCCACTAATAATATTTGAATAGGTGATGATAATTGGGACGACGATTTTACCACATCAATCTCGCCAAGCTCTCTTCGCCTTCCACATCTCAAACCACACGACAACTTCGGCGGATTGTTTTCCTCAGACAAGTTAAAACTACTTGCTTCTGCTGATATGGGCTTTGATTCTGGAAGTGATAACTGGGATGAAAATTTCGAAGGTGATTTGATTACTATCAAGGGACCGCGACGCTTCGCTGAGCCTGACTACCAAGAGCTCGAGACCATTCGCCCTTATCCTATCAAACCAAAGACGAACCACGATCTGAAGCCTCCTGCTCCTACAAACCTAGTTCGCAAGCGTTCCATGACGCTCCCTCAACGTCCGAAGACAGCTAACAAAAACCAACCTACTTCTAAATTTGCCTTGCCAGCGCGACCTGCGGCGTTGTTCCGGGAACAGACTATCGAAGACTATTCTGACCTTTATTTCGAGAACGAAAGCGTGTTTGATAGAAGGATGAGTGCTA